TGTTTACACAAACACACATACGAAGCAGTATGTCCGCTCATCTGACGAAATGTTTGAGAGATATCAAAACCGCACGTCCGTGAAGCCATACGAGCTCTGAACCGACAACCCAGATATGACGGTTGCATGGCACTTCTATAATTAATTGCCACGTGGACTCGGTTCCGCGCAGCTGATTTATGCGAAGATGATGTCTATCTCTCCTGCCAACCAAAGATATAATCTAGACAAAAAATTGTGTTACCATTACGCGAAAATGTTGTTTCAACCAAATTACAAATAGACGAAGCAAGATGAAATGAAAAGAATTTCAATTCATCTATCTTCCGCAAAGAGCCACGACAGCCACTATACGATAAATCGATCTACCTCTATACGTTAAATTCCAAAAATAATCGTAGATACGTTCCATGAGCTATTATTTTCAGGCTCCATTGAACAAGCCACAAAGCGAGATAATTTTCGAATCTATCGTCTCTACATGGTCTCTGCGGCTGTTACTGCTCGATAAATCTTTATTTATCGACCGCGAAACTCGTTGGCGAAAATTACACCTGCGAAATATATATTAACTATTAAGATTAAACCTACCGTCGAATCAGAATTGAACATCCTTCTTATTTTATTACGGACTTATAGTACTATAAACAAACTATAAAATGTGAGACCGCACTGAGAAAAAATCTGGTTGCATTAATTAGAATTCTGGTAGATTCAATCAGTATGTCTGTTGGAAAATGGACGAATCAGAATTCTTGTAGGAATTACCAGATGAATCTCATTAATTTCTTGCTGTTAAATTATCAAATTTTCTGGTTAATAATATTAAACTCGCCAGCACCAAGTCGTCTAAAATTTTTTCGATCTAATCTCAAAAGTCTGTTTAATATTTTGAATTCCAACAAGATTATTGGATAAATTCAACCCAGATTATTGAATAAATTATTTTAAATTCAGTTTGTTAGAAATTAAACTGCACTGAGAAAAAAATCTGGTTGCATTAATTAGAATTCTGGTAGATTCAACCAATATGTTTGTTGGAAAATGAACAAACCAGAATTCTTGTAGGAATTACCAGATGAATCTGATTAATTTCTTGCTATTAAATTATCAAATTTTCTGGTTAATAATATTAAACTCGCCAGCACCAAGTCGTCTAAAATTTTTTCGATCTAATCTTAAAAGTTTGTTTAATATTTTGAATTCCATTAAGATTATTGGATAAATTCAACCTAGATTATTGAATAAATTATTTTAAATTCAGTTTGTTAGAAATTAAATTGATAAACAGTGATGCAAGAAGAGGATACAGTTCAAACACACACATTCAGAGAGATAGCGTCCTCTTTCTGGCACTACTGCTTGTAAGAGAAAAAAAATATACTTTGGATTTAATGTTAATACTAATTCTTTATATACATTTCATGGCAAATATTGAATACGAATTAAGTGAAGAGTGGCTCGCCGCAAAGAAATTAATATAACAAGAAGTTTTATAGATCCAATCAGAAAATACTAACCAAATCCTTATAGTAAGATCTATTAAATGTTCTAGTTATAAAAAATCGAGTCTTATTATGATAACTAGAAATTCTTATTTGATTTAACCAAAATGCCTTCAATCATATACATCTTGTTGGTATAATCAAACGATTTTTCTCAGTGCGAGTCAGGAATGATCTAAAATTGCACATTTTGGATCCTGTATTTATTTGAATAATATTAAAAATATTCAAATAATTAGTACAGTTTTAACGATTCTCTTAAATATCTCCGTAAAATTCTTATTGTGATACGTCCACTTTCAATCTGCTTTCTGATCTCGTTAGAGATCAACGTAGATAATTAATGATATATCGATGATTCGTTCGATTCAAAGCGGACGGATTCGATCTGATGAACGAGTTAAATAAAGATGCAGCTGATATGTCAGCCGGCAGCGATAACGTCAGTTTAAAATACTCCCGCGGAAGAGAGCGGTGGAGAGACTGACAAGTCGGACGAGTTTCCATTGGCGATCTAATTGCCGACGAAAATGATGGAAGCGGAGCCGACGCAGAAATGAAGGGAGGGAAGAAGAAGAGAACGGGTGGATGGATAAAGGAAGGAGGTGACTCTCCGCACTACTATCTCGTTCTCCTCGCCTTTCCGAGCGAACAACCCCCGTGTACACTTGATTCAACAAAGCAAATCAGACTTCGACACGCAAAGTCGGTATGAGGGATCACGCGAGGTCGCCTTAATCCTCTCTCCTTCCCTCGCAGGCCAATCTTTTCTGGCTGACTTCTTAGCCTTGCCCATGCTCCCCGTAGAATTAGTGTCAAGCTAATTTCGCGTGGCTGAATTTAGAAGTTTCTTTTTGATCGTGTGTCTCGATGCTACCGCCCGTTCCTCCACGATCATCCTGAAAACCACCCTCGCCCACCCTTTCATTCGTCCCGCACCCCTTAAGCCTTCGGATTCGACGGCGCGCCGCACCGCACCCGCTTCCACGAAAAAGCAATTGCTCTATATTACATGGTGCATTACGAAAGTTCCCGCGGAGCAATTTTTTTCGCGTTTTTTATCCTTTTTTTTGCACGAGTGAAAAGGGAGGAGAAAGCATGCGATCACCGAGAATTCTAGCCCTCATACCAATTTAGAAAGCCGTGTAGCCGGACCGATTGAGAATCTAACGAATGGAATCACGAATGCAGATTTACAAGCACTCAGCGAGGGGAAACGGTAAAGTATGTTATTTGTGTTACATCAATCGCTATTATGTATGTCTGTAACGCGCGTTTCACATTCCGTGAAATAATTGGCGAGAAATAAATACGGTCATAAAATCGACTCGTAAAATCTTCGTCATATTATGCACATTAAGTACTTAAATAAATAATTTTTATTAATCAAAAATTTCAATTTTTGTCGAAAATTACATTCATAAATTAATTTAATTTTATAATGCGCGAACGGAAAAAAATTACTTGAATAAAGAAAACGCGATTCATATTCGTTGAAAAAAAAATTAAATTAATTCAACAGATTATACGTTAATTAATATATTGATAATATATTGATAATTTTTATTAATCGCATTTATATTAAGTCAATTAGATACTTTCCTCGCTTTAAGCTAATAATTACGAGATTTGTTCAATCAACTTAATATTGAAGTTTTGTTTATTAAATAGCCAGTTTTCTGTACTCTCTCAAAGTGAATCAGTGAAAATATCACTAATTTAAACAATAAAATAAGATTTTACTGAGAATCAGTGAGTATTTTACTGATCTTCAGTAGAAACGCTACTTTTTTGTTATTTTATCTTATATCTCACTGATTATGGTCAGTTAAAATAAAATTCACTGTAAAATCGGTAAATTTTACTGTAAAACCAGTAATCGCTAGTTCGTTCATTTACCGCTACAATCGCTATCTCTCTCGTATTTAATTTTAATTATAAGAATTATATAAAGTTTGCAAAGAGTGACAATTAAAATTAGAAGTATTACTTTGATTTAATTTCTGATACAATCTTAATAGAGAGGCTTCAGAAATCGATCTTTATAAGTCGGACAAATAAATGTCTGGCGATTTAATGAAAATTATTTGTTCGTTATCTATTTAAAATAACAAGTTCAATATGCATGTAATATAAATAAAATAAAATTTTTAATATAATAAATATTTAGTAAATATAAATAAAATTTTTATATGAAAAAGATAGAGAGATAAATTATGATTTAATATTACTGACAATAACGAAAGAAATATTACTGATATTGAGAAATAGTACTGATTGAAACAGTCAAAATTATTAACTGATTCTTTCAATAAAATATCACTGATTTACAGTCCTGTACTAATAACTGCTGTAATCAATGACTATTTACTGTTTTTCAGCGATAATACACTGACTTTTAGAGGGTATATAAATAATTTTTTCCTCGATTTATTTTGGATTATTCGCTGCGATTGAATATTATTTTATATGTTCCAGTTAATGAATTATTTTGAAGTAATATTGAGATGACCATTGTAATAATTTAAGAGTCAGAACTCATTCAGACGTAGACTGTAACTGTAACTACTGAAGAACTGGTACTAAAACAACACCGGAATTACGTAACTTTTAAACGCTGCTGGGCATGTGTTAAACTAGGTTTTCGCCGCCTAGGATTAGCATTTTGACGACCTTTTTAAGAGCCTGAAATGTAATCGAAGTGAGACCTATAAACTCTGAGAAGGGAAAAAAATAATTGCGTTGAATACATATTTTTTTAATGTTAAAAGAGCACATAGAAACATAAGAAAAATATAAATGTAATGTACGTATTATGTATCTACAATAATATGAGATAGCGACATCTGAGCAATGTAATTAGATTGTTATAAAATGCTTGAGATTAGATTGCTTAACATATTCATTTAAAAAGCACACACACATACACATACGTAACGATTCCGTTTATAAATTATTCTGTGAAAAATAAAAATTTTATTTGTACTTTAATATTTTCAAACACATATATATGTATATATATATACACATATATGTATATTATATAAATATTATATAATATATAATTATTATATAATATTAAATATTATTATATATAATATATAATTTATATAATATTATATAAATATTATATAATATATAATATATAATATATAATTATAATTATAATTATATAATATTATATAAGTATTATATATTATATAAATAAAAAAATAAATTTCGCGAAACTAAAAAAATCGCAATTCTAACTTTCAGCTAATAAATTGAAAGAATATCTAAAAAAAGCTAATGTAATTAAAATTAATCGCGGCATTTTGTTGCAATTGTACAATAATAATGACAGTGTTTATTACAATTTAATTTAGACATATTGAAAGTAAGTATTTTATCAACAGTGAGTAAATTGCGGTTATCCTCAAGCTTCCAAAAAGTGGAAATGCAGTTAGATGGCGCACGAAATGTTCGATTTATTTTTCTGCCAGCTGACAGCTTGTATAGAGGTCTAGCAGTTAGACGGGTTTGTCTCAGAGAAGAATCTTGTGGAGTTACACGTCAGTCATTAAAATAATGTAGATTTGACTGAATAAAATACTTTTTCATCGATTTTGTCACCACGTAAATATATATTTATAACGAAGGTAGGAAATCTTCATTTTCTACTTTATTTTCATAATATCTAAATCGTGTAAGGTCGTAAGTAGTGCCGTTATATCGGCATCGCCCGAATTTGATCGAGTTGCAATTTCAGTATTCGAAGTTCGACCGCGAGCTTAAATACCAATTAATTTGTCCTGTACGTTCTATGAACAATAATTTGAGCAATATCACGATTGAGCAAGAAAAAAAATATCGTTCGCATAAATTTAACCATCATTGCCGACTTAATGATTTGGACGAAGTTGACGTCACTGCCGAAAGATCAATAACTGAGCTTGAATTGGCGTTGTTTCCTTTCCCAGTTATAATGCAGATATACTGATATCCTTCTGAAATGTACACGTTTTGTTATGAAAATAAATATATGCGCTCTTTTCTCTCTCTCTTATCTTGAATATATGAATAAAAAAATTTGTAATATAAAATTTGTAATATATCTCTCAGGTATTGATCACTATACGACAAGATGATGTCTGATCGGAAAGCTGAGTTGGAGAGGAAGAAGGCAAAGTTGCAAGCTATTAGGGAAGAAAAGGAAAGACGTAGAAGGGAAAAAGAACAGAAAGATGTAAGAGATAAACATAAGTGTTTAATTATAAAAAATAATTGTTCATATATATATATATATATATATATATATATATATATATATGAAAATATATATGTAATTATTGTGATATTAAATTAGTGTGATATTAAAATGAATTTTGTGAATTATAGGTAGAGGAGGCAACTGTCAGAGCTGCTGGTACAGATAAAGATCAGCGGAAGGAGATAGACGCAATGCTGTCTTCCTTGGGTGTAGCACCGGTATCAGGTAAACAGGGTGTTCCCAAAAGTCCCGGACCGGTCGAATATTTCATAAACTATGCACTCTAGAAAGAAATGTTTCAGACAAAAGTTGTATGGCTTGAAGGGGACCATCAGATAGTGGTAATGATTTGACATGGGAGAGTCATTTGAAAGTCATGTGAAGATCACCGTCAATTTCTTAAATGGAACTCCCTATTTTTTATTACATATTCGTGTAGCTTATCTCGATAGCTTTCCAAAACACTATAATAAAGTATTTCTTTATTGAGTACTTTTCGAGTTATGAGGCTTGAAATTATTTCTTAATTTTACAAATATCTTGTGAAATATTCATTTTTCGATTATCTTACCTTAATAATTTTATGTACAAAATAATGAGAGAAATCAATTGTTAATTGCGAATTACATATTTTTTTCTTAAAAACAATTATGTTTTTTCTTTACACCAATTGATTCTTCTCATTATTTTGTACATACAATTATTAAGGTAAGATAATCGAAAAATGAATATTTTACTAGATATCTTATGGGTTATGTAAAATTAAGAAATTATTTCAAGTCTCATAACTCCAAAAGTGCTCGATAAAGAAATACTTTATTATAGTGTTTTGGAAAGCTCTCCAGATAAGCTATACGAATATGTAATAAAAAATAGGGGGTTCCATTTAAGAAATTGATTGTGATCTTCACGTGACTTTCAAATGACTCTCCCATGTCAAATCATTGCCACTATCTAGCCCCCTTCAAGCTATATAACTTTTGTCGGAAAAACATTTCTTTCTAAAGTGCATAGTTTATGAAATATTCGACCGGTCCGAGACTTTTGGGACACTGTATAATTATAATCTATTTGATTGCACACATATTATATGCTTTTCTTTATATAACACTTTATTTTTGTTTATTTCTAGATGTACTATCTAGTTTATCTAGTATGAGTTCGTTAACGCCTGAACAAAGCGCCAATGCTACACCAGATGCCAGTTTGCAACCTTCTAGCATAAATTCTGCTCAAAGGTATTTATATGATTTGAATATCTTTTATATATATTTATTTTTAAAAACGATTTTTATATATTTTTGTCCTGGCACAAAGCAGTGCAAGCCGAAGGAAGAATCGAGAGCTCACAATCGTTTCTGTGGCACATACAAACATTCCACCGAAAGAACCAGTTGTTTACAGCAAGCAAACGCAGACAATTCAGACAACGCATACATCTCACGACGGTGAGTCAATATTTCTCTTATTTATTTATAGCACATAAGTGTTACATCTCACTTATAATCTTGCAAAGAAACATTTAGATATTAGAAAACACGTTTTCTTGATATTTAATTCACAATATTTCAAGACATAAATATTGATAGAATTAATAAAATATGATTTTTGAAAATTCTTGAAATATGATTAGTTGATTACAAGATATATATATATATTATTATATCTTTTTGATGTAATTTTTAACAATGTCTTTGCTGCTATTTTATGCTAGATAATTCCATTATCAATATTTACTTTAATATAAGTCTACACATAAATTTATACATTCACAATGCGTGTTTTTCAAAATCACTGAAATATCATCAACCTACACATTAATTTTTACATCGAGGAATTTACATGATTGACTATGGTAAAGTGGGTGGTGTATAAAAGAGAGAGTATATTATACATATCATTTTCAATTGCAACATTGTGTTTACAAATTTGTAACCACATACTAAAGTTTTAACACTATTTCCTTGTGTGTTAACTATAAATGAAATAAATAATAAATGAATGAAATAATAAATTACACAAGTGCAAGTTTTTTATTTAGTTTTCTTTGAGTGATAAATAACATTAAGATTGAGTTAACCTTTTTTGTTTTCTATGATTAATTTTCTAGTGGAGGAAACTTACATATTCTCAAAACATAAATTTAATAATTTAGTGCAGTGCAATTACTATTTCGTATGTTTTTTTTCATATTATTTATGAAGGATTAACATTTTTCAACACTTTTACATAATTTTTTATTATTCAAACAATACTCTGCATTAAAAAATAACATTGAGTATTGTCTTTAATGCTTTAATTGTTACTTAAGATCTATTTATCGAAGATTGATTACTTTTAAAAAATTGCTTAAAACATTAATGCATTTAATTTAACATCAATTAGTATATTAAATATATGCTGATTATTTATATATTTAAACCAATATAAAAAAAGTAAACAACATATCATAACATTATAATTAGTTTTAATTGAAAATAAATAATAGTATTTCTTCTTACTGTACCTTAAATTATATATGTAACAAATATATATTGATCGGTACATGATAGTATACACGTTTATATATGTATAATAATCAGTCTGGGTATGTCTTTGGTTTAAATTATGATTCTTTTGGTGGTGGCAACGTTCTTACATACAATCTTTTTTTTTTCAATAACACACACACCCGCAAATTCAGTTAGTTCTTGAATATTTATATATATGTTTTGCTGACTATTAATTTCAATTTTTTTCCGGCAATAAAAAGAGAATTATAAATAATTAATAATTAAAAAATTATATAATTTTTATCTATTTTATTTTTATACCACCTACTTTACTATGTAAAAAAATATAATGTAACATTATTTTCAAATGAAATTTAAATTTTAGTTTGGAAAATTATTTTTTTTTATTTTTTATTTTTTTTATTAAATAATTGACTAATTCATTATTCATTACATTGAAGTACATGCTGCTAAAGGGGAATGCTAAAGAAATATGTATATGTATATATAGATAAATATATATAGATACATATATGAAATAAATTCTTTATATATGTTTTCTAACTGATCTTGCGGTGTTAATTAAACATACGCATATTCCCTTGTCTTGCGATACAATCTGATTGATTCATCCGGTGTTGGACACAAGGACTGTCCACATCGTCCTCTGCATACACCATCTACTCCTCCTGTTCAACAACAACACCAACTCACTCTTGCTCCGCAGGCTACTTTGAGACTGACTGGTGGCGTCCCAGGAAAGGTGGGTCTGCACCAAACTACCTATGTATGTTCTGTCTACTTTTTTACTACCCTTCCATAATTGTTGTACGACATTATAATATAGAGGTAGAAATATATTGTGGAGGTAGAGATATATCAGATTCCAAATGAAGAAATGTAGAATCTTTGGGGTGCTTTGCGCTTTGGAAAACGTTGCTCCGCATATTTTTTACACTGTGATTCTTCGTTCTTCATATATTTCAAACTATGTGAAGACAACGAGGAATCATGAAGGTTACATGTCAGTTGCTAAATAATCGATTTTATATTGGAACTATTTTACACGAATTTTGTATGTGGAAATTTGTAATTGTAAGTACTATATTTGCTGTCTTAGCAGCTAATATATATATATATATATATATATATATATATATATATATATATAATTATATACAGGGTGTCCCAAAAGTCCCGAACTGGTCGAATATTTCATAAATTATGCACTTTAGAAAGAAATGTTTCAGACAAAAGTTATATGGCTTGAAGGGGGCTAGATAGTGGCAATGATTTGACATGGGAGAGTCATTTGAAAGTCACGTGAAGATCACCGTCAATTTCTTAAATGGAACTCCCTATTTTTTATTAAATATTCTGGTAGCTCACGTCGAGAGCTTTCCAAAACACTATAATAAAGTATTTCTTCAGTCAATTTCTTGAGTACTTTTCGAGTTATGAGACTCGAAATCATTTCTTAATTTTGCATAAATCATAAAATATCTAGTAAAATATTCATTTTTCGATTATCTTACCTTAATACATTTATGTACAAAATAATGAGAAGAATCAATTGGTGTAAAGAAAAAACATAGTTATTTTTAAGAAAAAATATGTAATTGTTAATTGCAAATTACATATTTTTTTCTTAAAAACAACTATGTTTTTTCTTTACATCAATTGATTCCTCTAATTATTTTGTACATAAAAATATTAAGGTAAAATAATCAAAAAATGAATATTTCACAAGATATTTTACGGTTTATATAAAATTAAGAAATGATTTCAAGCCTCATAACTCGAAAAGTACTCAATGAAGAAATACTTTATTATAGTATTTTAGAAAGCTCTCGAGATAAGCTACACGAATATGTAATCAAAAATAGGGAGTTCCATTTAAGAAATTGACGGTGATCTTCACGTGACTTTCAAATGACTCTCCCATGTCAAATCATTGCCACTATCTGGCCCCCTTCAAGCCATACAACTTTTGTCTGAAACATTTCTTTCTAAAGTGCATAGTTTATGAAATATTCGACCGGTCCGGGACTTGTGGGACCCTGTATATTTATATTTATATATTTATATTATTATATATATTTTTATATATTTTGATATTATTTAAACAAATAAGTCCACATCTCGATTATTTCTAGAAAGTTTCATGCTTTTATTTCCACATACAGATGACCATTTAGTTGCATTATAAAAAAGCTTACTCATGCTTCAGTAATTTAACAGAATAATTAATTGAAAAAAAATAAAGTTACACAGCACATTAACTTTAGCCATCCTAACTCTAGGTTTTTTGGAAAAACATATGAATTAGGAATGCAAATAAAATGTTGACAAAACTCTTATACCATGACTGATGCATGCTGGCAGAGGATTGATATTTGTACTCACAAAATGACGATTATCAATATTTCTCCAGTACACATACATATATAAAAATAATCCAATATGTGATAATCTATAAACAATTTTTAATAATTTATGACAAGTATGTATAAAATATCAAAATAATTCCTTTTATGATATTTTTTAATGTTGCATCTTTTAATGCTTTATAAGATACTAATTGCTAACGTGTATTTCTAATATTTATTTAGATAATTGCTTCTAAAATTATTATTTGCTTTACCGATGATTGTTTTTCATATTCTAATAAAAAGAATAAGCAAATCAATTTTGAAAGAGACTTAGAGGGTGGGCATAAGTGTGACAAGGGATGTAAGTGCGATATTGCAGCTTGTTTATTCGAAAATATCTATTATTATTAAATATAGCTTAAAAAATTAAAATTATTTGCCATAATAATTAATCAATAACTAATTGACACTGTAATTGCTATTAAATGAAAGTGTTGAACATCAAAGATAAACTACTCTAAAAATGATAAATATTCTGAATATGTACGTTTCCTCTTATACGTAGGAATCGAGAAGCACCGCACATTATAAGAACTTACAAAATTACATCTACCTAACTACATTCAGCATTATCATAATCATTTTTTACAAGATATACAGCATTTTTTAATCATATTAAGATAAAATTTTAATTTTATTTATAGCTATTTACTTTTTTAATATTTTTTTACAAACAAATTATATATCTGCATCTGAATATATATTATCGTCTCTATAAATTATATTCTTTTTTTAAACTATCAAACATATTACAACTACTAAATTTTTTCTTTTCAATACTTTTGTGGAACTCTTGTACAATTTTATTATCGATTTTTTATTTGAAACTAATGATCTGAGTGTAGAGAGGTATTATTAGTGTAGTGCATTCTTATGATATATTGTAACTAAGTATACAATTTTTTTTCCCTCCCCTTCTCAGCTCATGCATTCGACTATTACGGTAAGTTATGATTTCTCTTGGTTCTGAAAGCGATTTTTAGGTTCAGAATTAGGTTTAGCTTGATTTCAGTTTATTATTCTCTTAAAGCAATGAGCATTCTAAAAAAAATGTTATGTGAATTAAGATTGTTAATTTTTAGCAATAGATTGACGTGATATTCAATTCAACTTTATACATGCTATTCAAAATTATTTATACTAAAACGAACGCATTAAGGTAAGAAAAATTAGATTTCAAATTTGCTTGCTAAAGAACATAGTTTTATATATTATTTTTAGTTATTGTTTTATATATTGTTTTTACCAAGATTTTCATTATATATTCGCAACATAACTGATAGTGCTTTTATTTGAGGATAGATACAGCCTAAAGCTTAAAGAACAAGTAAAAAAAATATCCTTCTATCGAATTGGGCATTTTCAATAGGAAAAATCTTATAAAAATACAGGAATGTGTAAAAAAACAACTCTCCACCCAGAATCTAATCGGGTTTTTGCGCTATCAGATCGCTTTTATATTTCTTCTAGCTCTTTTTCCTCTCGTTATTTATCTATATTTTTGGGTGCATTTGTTCTTATTTATTATATCTGTTATTTTCTAAATATTTATCTGACATCCCGACTCTATTGAATAAAGAAATCTGCTATCGGAGAAGGGGGACACACGACACAAATCTATCTGCATATACTTGATTCTTGCAGAGCATGTATAAATTTTGAAGATGGTTATTTCGACATCTCTGGCTCCTTAAATACGATTAGCAATATTTTCCAAGCTACTTTTACAAACTATACTATTAATTTCACAATAGGCATGTTATAGAAAAAATTATATTCTGTTTATATTTCGACATTGACAAAGAAATATAAGGATAAAGGACAAAGATTATTAAACCGTTAAACGAAAATGAAGAAAGTTGAAAAACTTTGATAATTATTTTAATAATATTCTTGACAACATATATCTTAGGTGACGTACCAAGAATATCAGAATGTCTTTTGAGGAAAATATCCATTGGCAAATCTTGTCACAACTTAACGCACCTTCCAGAGTTCTCGGCGCGACTTTACAATCATTATCTGAAATCTCTTTGGGAATGCTAACATATGTATCATAACGCTTACTAACATGTAAACAGTGTTTGCTGGTATTTAGATAAAATTATCTAGATAATCATCTAGATAAAGAAATGGCTTATCTTTATCTTTAACTAGATGAAGAAATACAAAGTATCTTTATCTTTATCTTAGATGAAAAATATATGTCATCTTATCTAAAAATTGTCTAAGATGATGTTTTCATTATGCAAAAAAGTTTTCCAGGCATGCTTCTAAAAATCTATCTAAAATATCTAAAATATATTTTTTATATTATTATTATTAATATATTATAAATATATTATTATTATATTATTAATATATTATAAATATATTATAAATATAAATTATATATTACAAATATAAATTAATAAATAAATATTTATCATATTATTTATATATCTTTTTGCTATTATTTAAATATTCTTTAGGAAAAGAGAAAGAATATGTGTTTATGATTTTAATATCCCATTTATAATCTGCGTCACATTTTTTACAAATATTTATAATCTTCTAAAATAAACAAAAATATCTAGATAATTATCTAGATTATCGCAATAATTATCTCATCTTTCATCTAGATTAAGTAAAAGCAAAATCATCTTTATTTCATCTAAGATAAATTTACGGATTTTTTTATCTTTATCTAGATAATTTTGAAATTATCTACAGCAAACACTGCATGTAAACAATTTTTATAGACTGAGGTGTTGTGGGATATTAATTTTAAAAATTAAATTTAAAAAATAATCTATCAGACACAACATTATTCTCGATATATACTGACTTTAATAAATTTTTTGTCTACTAACACAAAATCTTAATACTTTATATAATGATGTATTGCTTGAGCTTTTAGTGGCAAAAAGGAACCCTTTTATAAAATGTTCCTTGATTATAGAATATTGCTTTTTAACAGCACGAGGGTGACGCGTAGCAAATTAGTAAATTAATATCTAAAAAAAATAATTATATATGAAATCTCAGCACAGCAGTACAGCATTCTCAAGAAATGATATGCATATTACATGTGAATATTTCTTAGCGTGATGAATTTCTTTTCATAATGTTGGCAGATCTATTTCCGTTACCAATATATTTTTTTAGAAAGTAACTATTATTCCAAATATTTTAATTTGAAAAACTGGAAAAAATATATAGTTTTTATTTAAGTCGGAGATGTCAGTATGTTATATTAAATTAAATCATTTCAATTTCATGATCCCTTAATTGTCTACATTTTAGTTGTTTCCGAACTTCTTTCTGAGATTTATTAATATTGAGTTTTTTGACATAAAATATATATATATATTTTATTTCCGAAAAATATTTTATCATGTTTTACATTAATGCATTGTGCAAAAAAATATATTTTGAAAATATAAGTAGAAGAATTTAGAACAAAGTTCTTATAAACAAATTATTAGTAGTTTTGTCAAAATGCATATTGAGAAATAATGGATTTGGAATTGGCCTCCCTTAGAGTGCATCAATGTTTTAAAACATAATTATTAATGGGAATATTGTACGCTTGTGTATGTGTATATATACATATATATCTTATGATTTGATAATTTCAATTTTTATTTTCAAATCTCTTAAGCAATTGTTGATGTACTTTGCATGACAAAAAATCAAAAGAAGTTATTTGAATCTTATATTGCAATATATTATTGCGAGAATGATGTAACAATAAAAATTTTTCACAATTAAATTAACGAAACGAAAGACTCAAGTAACTTTTAATTTTTGTACATGTACATTATGCATCAATAACACAGGCCGACAAAATTTAGACCCAGAAACCAGAATATACTTTTCCTAAGGTTTTTGACGCGCTGAATTCGAATCCGAGGTCAGAATTTCTCTGGTGGCTCCGGTTTTCGAGATATTCTAACCTAAAAGTGCCCAAATTACGGTTTTTCAAGATATTAGAGGTTATGTTACATCGCAAGGTAATTTTTTTTCATAAAACCATTAATGGAGTCCGAAAGTACTACTCTTCCTCTTTAAAAAACATTTTGATTTGTCCGGATATCTTTTTTTATCTTTGAGAAATCGTATGTTCAAATTAAGTAGTTCGACTTATTTCTCAATATTTGGAAAATGATTGATTGTTTATCAATTAGTTTGTAACAAAACTCATTTTAATATACCGAATTACTATTCCGGGTGAGCTTGTTCCCGTAGAATCCGATTGAATCATTTATTTCTCAAAAAATATTTTTGCAATAGTTTGTTTAAACAAATTGTTTAAACAAATTGTTTAGACAAATTAAATTTGCAAAACTAATGTCAAATTTCTAATCAGCGTGCATCAAAACCCTTTTAAAAATGTATATTTCGTGTACATACATTATATTGTACTTATCTGATGCTATTCAATTTCCAAATATCAAAAATGTCAAACTACTTAATTTGAACATTCAATTTCTCAAAAATAAAAAAAGATATCCGGACAAATCAAAATGTTTTTTAAAGGAAGAGTAGTCTTTGCGGACCCCATTAATGGTTTTATGAAAAAGAATTATCTTGCGATGTAACATAACCTCAAATATCTCGAAAAACCGTGATTTTGGCACTTTTAGATTAGAATATCTCGAAAACCTGAGTCACCAGAGAAATTCTGACCTCGGATTTGAACTCAGCGCGTCGAAAACCTTCGGAAAAGTATATTCTGGTTTCTGGGTCTGAGGTTTAGCCAAATTTTGTCGGTCTGTGTAATATTCATTGAGAAATATTTAAAAAAGCCTACAAACTTCCGGCAAATAAGATATCAAATTGATTGACATTTTCTTTTCCCTCCTTCAAGACGAGTACAATCTAAATCCTGGTTTAGAATGGGAGGACGAATTTACAGGTAGGTAATTCTCTCTAAGGATGATTCACTTTACCTAATTATTTCACTGACATGTTCATAATTCACATTCTTACACAAAGTTATGCCTAAAAATAACTTTCTTATTGTAATTTGTTGTTTTTGCTTTATATTTTGCACTGAAAGGAGGGAATTGTCGCCAAGTTACAATTTGCTTGACAAGATGCTTTATTTTCTATTCTTTCTTGTTTCTGTTCCTAAGATAAATTCGCTTTAAGTATTGTGCATGCAGAAATTATAAATTTATAGCATTGTTATTTTTTAAAGCAGTGAGTTATACTGCAAATTGATATCTAATAATTTTGATAATATTTAAGATTTGACACTTTAATTAAGAGATTTTGTTATTATACATTTATTAATTCTTTATTATTTCGAGAATTTTAAAGTGATAAAATTATAGATTATTTTATTTTATTCATTGTCATTGTGTCATAGCTGTTAATTTAATTAGCACTGCATGAGACCTGGGAAGTTGCGTTAATTTATATCCTCACACTGTATGTACTTGTTTATTATATTACTTAAAAAAAGCTATAGAATCGCCGTGACAAAACTCACTTTCTTTCCGATTTCATTGTTCATTAATCTTCGCAAATTTTGATCGTTCATCATTATCTTACAAAATTAATATTAATATTAATATACTATAAAAAGAGAAAGAAATGATGAAACTTCACATATAATTATCACATTCTATATGCGTGATTCTTATATGATAACAGTTTAATCAATAACATATAAATCGCGGATAAAGGGGAAATCAATATTTTTTTATTACTTAGAATATATATTCACATTTATTTTTCTTTACATTTCCCCATTCTTTACATAGTCCCATTTCACTGCATGTCAACAAAGGGTGGAGAGAAAATTGAAAATAATTGAAAAGATAAAGTAATACCAATATATAATATATAAAATCAGTTTTATTTGTGAGTAGTCTATCAACAAGCAGTCCACCTTTCGTATACAGGGTGTTTCATTTTAATTTCCCCAAATATTTCGGAAAATTTCGCAAATATTTCGGAAAATAATAAAAAATCAAAAAAATGTTTCAGACAAAAGTTGTAAAAGACAAAAGTTTGACAAAAGTTGGTTTCTAGAGGGGCATAAGGTGGTGCCTTATTAGTTTGACCTTGAAGAGTTACATGAAGGTTACATGAAGGTCATTTTGAATTTCTTAAATGGAACACCCTATATATTTTTGCACATTCTTGTAGCTCATCTCAAGAGCTTTCCAAAACACTATAATTAAGTTAGTTCATTAAGTACTTTCCAAGTTATGAGGCTTGAAATCATTTCTTAATTTTACATAACCGTAAAATATCTTATAAAATATTCATTTTTCGATTACCTTACCTTAATACTTTTATGTACAAAATAATGAGAGGAATCAATTGGTGTAAAGAAAACAACACAGTTGTTTTTAAGAAAAAATATGGAATTGTTAATTGCAAATTACATATTTTTTCTTCGAAACAATTATGTGTTTTCTTTACACCAATTGATTTCTCTCATTATTTTGTACATAAAAATATTAAGGTAAAATAATTGAAAAATGAATATTTTACAAGATATTTTACGGTTTATATAAAATTAAGAAATGATTTCAAGCCTCATAACTCGAAAAGTACTTGATGAAAAAATACTTAATTATAATGTTTTGGAAAGCTCTCGAGATAAGCTACAAGAATATGCAAACATATATAGGTTGTTCCATTTAAGAAATGCAAAATAATCTTCACGTAACCTTCATGTGACTCTTCAAGGTCAAACAATGGCACCATCTTATGTCCCTCTAGAAACCATACAACTTTTGTCTGAAACATTTTTTCGAATTTTCATTATTTTCCGAAATATTTGCCTGGGGAAATTAAAATGAAACACCCTGTATATGTTTAATTTTGACGTCATCTAGGTTCACATTTTTATGTATATATAACATTTTGTTTTCATTTATAAAAAGTTTTTTTAGCATGGTATATTAATCATGTAGCATTTATCAATGCTTTTAAATGTTGTTCCTTAAAAAAAGTTTTGTTGTTGAAGATTGCAAGTTAGAGCTATTAAGAAATATATTACCCTGTTTTAAAGAAATGAGCACGAGTTCATTTTTTATGATATGCTGGCATGTAAATTGTGGCACTTAAAATTAAAAAAAAAAGCAAATATAAAAATGTTACAGAAAATAATGTTAGGACTTATGAATTAGTAGAGAATGTATAATGTTGTTTTTCTCTCATAGATATGTGTATAAAATGACCAATTGCTGCTTTGTGAATACTTTTCAATTTATTTTATATTTGTTATAAAATAATTTTTTTCTTCTTTTTTAAATAAAAGCACAGCATCTCTGAAAGATTCGATAAATTCGTTAGAATATTTTCGAAACTAAGTAAATATAGGTAGATCAGTAGCTAGATAGTTAGTTATATCAAAGTTAGGGTAGAGAGGAATCAGCTTATTCACCACAGTTTTGACATTTGATGATGGCCAAGCTGAAGACGAAGAAAATAGCTTGCCGCACATGGATGGTTTCCAAAGTAAGCTTCCACCTGGAATTCTTCCTCACGGATTACCGCAAGTTAAGGAAGTCCAACCTGCCGTGACGCAAGTAGAGCAAGAGAAAGAGAAAGAAAAACCTAAGAAAGAAGGTGAATAAAATTATTATTCTCTAACAATAAAAAAATTTTTATTACGATCAAATATTATTATTCCAATAATAAAAAATCTATTAATTTCAAAAGTACGAGAACTTAGTGAAGAAGAGAAGCAGATGATTATCTTATCCGAAGACTTCCAACGATTTCTCGATCGTACTAGTAGGATTGTGGAGAGAGCTCTTGGCGAATCAGTCGATATTTACACTGATTATACTGGTACTATGGACGGTGAAGATGGAATGTAAGTATAAAAAAAATTATTAAAAAATTATTTTATTTTTCTTAATCTTCTTAATCTAAAAAAATTATTAAAAAATTATTTTATTTTTCTCAATCTTCTTAATCTTCTCTTCTACAAGCTGTAATTATAACTGCTTTATAGATATATTTTGTTTGATTATTAACAATTGTTCAGAATTGTAACTGTTGTATTTTCAGGGACGAAAAGAGTCATCAACGACTTTGGCTAAATCGTTCGTTTATCTGCGAACGATGGTCCCGTAATCGTTGTGTGACCTCCATGGATTGGTCGCCCCAATTCCCCGAGCTTTTAGCGGCTTCGTATAACAATAACGACGACACTCCGAACGATCCTGATGGAGTGTGCCTAATTTGGAATACGAAATTCAAGAAAACAACTCCTGAATTTATCTTTCATTGTCAATCACCTGTTATGTCTACCACGTTTGCTAGATTCCATCCAAATTTGATCCTGGGCGGCACTTATTCTGGCCAAATTGTACTTTGGGATAATCGAGTGCAGAAGAGAACTCCTATACAACGCACTCCTCTTTCTGCTACCGCGCACACTGTAAGTGACTTATCACACTTCTAGATGCACATTAGGCAGTTAACTCCTCCCTGACTGTTTATGGAAATTATCACTTGTAGCATCCTGTATACTGCTTGAGCGTCGTTGGAACGCAAAACGCGCACAATTTAATCAGTATTTCGACGGATGGGAAATTGTGTTCGTGGAGCTTGGATATGCTATCGCAACCGCAGGAAGCATTAGAATTGCATACGAAGCAATCGAAAGCGATTGCTGCTACATGCTTGGCCTTTCCACATGGTGACGTTAACAATTTCGTCATGGGAAGCGAGGATGGAACGGTTTATTCAGGTAATTGTCTATATTATATATTTGTATGTATATAATTGTCTATATTGTATATACAGGGTGGACCATTTTAATCTATAATGGAAAATATCTCGGAATGTTGGTGAGATACAACAAAATGTTTTAGACAAAAGTTGTATGGTTTCAAGGGGGACATAAGATGGTGTCATTAATTTGATCTTGAAGAGCCACCTGAAGGACACGCGAAGGTCAGCTCCAACTTTTTAAATGGGACACCCTATATGCTTTTGCATATTCTTGTAGCTCATCTCAAGAGCTTTCTAAAACACTATAATTAAGTTAGTTTTCATTAAGTACTTTCCAAGTTATGAGGCTTGAAATCATTTTTTAATTTTACATAAACCGTAAAATATCTTGTAAAATATTCATTTTTCGATTATTTTACCTTAATACTTTTATGTACAAAATAATGAGAGGAATCAATCGGTGTAAAGAAAACATACAGTTGTTTTTAAGAAAAAATATGGAATTGTTAATTGCAAATTACATATTTTTTCTTAGAAACAACTATGTGTTTTCTTTACACCAATTGATTCCTCTCATTATTTTGTACATAAAAGTATCAATGTAAGATAATCGAAAAATGAATGGTTTATTAGATATTTTACGGTTTATGTAAAATTAAAAAATGATTTCAAGCCTCATAACTTGGAAAGTACTTAATGAAAACTAACTTAATTATAGTGTTTTGGAAAGCTCTTGAGATGAGCTACAAGAATATGCAAAAGCATATAGGGTGTCCCATTTAAAAAGTTGGAGCTGACCTTCGCGTGTCCTTCAGGTGGCTCTTCAAGATCAAACTAATGACACCATCTTATGTCCCCCTTGAAACCATACAACTTTTGTCTAAAACATTTTGTTGTATCTCACCAACATTCCGAGATATTTTCCATTATAGATTAAAATGGTCCACCCTGTATATACATATTTTACATACAGGATTTTTGAAAAGTCTGGAAACGATCGAATATCTAAAAAATAAAACATTTTAGAGAAAAATATTTCAAATAAAAGTTGTTTGATTAAAGAGAGCTATAAAATGGTGGCAATGGTGGCAATGGTTTGACCTTGAATAGTCACTGGAAGGTCACATGAAGGCCACCTTTAATTTCTTCTAAACGGAACATCCTATATATTTTTGCATATTCCTGTAGCTTATCTCGAGTGCTTTCCAAAACACTATAATTAAGTATTTTTTCATTAAGTACTTTTCGAGTTATGAGGCTTGAAATAATTTCTTAATTTTACATAAATCATAAAATATTCATTTTTCGATTATCTTACCTTAATACTTTTATGTACAAAATAATGAGAGGAATCAATTGGTGTAAAGAAAAAACATAGTTATTTAAAAAAAAAAAATATGTAATTTGTAATTAACAATTACATATTTTTTTTTTAAACTATATGTTTTCTTTACTATGTGTTTTCAATTGATTCCTCTCATTATTTTGAAAATAAAAGTATTAAAGTAAGATAATCGAAAAATGAATATGTTACTAGATATTTTATGGTTTATGCAAAATTAAGAAATGATTTCAAGCCTCATAACTCGAAAAGTACTCAATGAAGAAATACTTTATTATATTATAGTGTTTTGGAAAGCTCTCGAGATAAGCTACACGAATATGTAATAAAAAATAGGAGGTTCCATTTAAAAAATTGAAGGTGACCTTTACGTCACCTTCAAATGACTCTCCAAGGTCAAATCATTGCCACTATCTGATGGCCCCCTTCAAGCCATACAACTTTTGTTTGAAACATTTCTTTCTAAAGTGCATAGTTTATGAAATATTCGACCGGTCAGGGACTTTTGAGACACCCTGTATATTATATATTTATGCCACATTGTGTATATTTTTTTAATGAAAAGTAACATAATTTCAACACAATTTCAATATAATGTCGAATAGCCTGCCGACACGGTAGCCGCGCCGGGTTAACAGAAACGTACGAAGGTCATCAGGGACCGGTCACCGGCATTAGCGCACACGCAGTACAGGGCGGGATAGATTTCTCCCATCTGTTCCTGACGTCTTCTCTCGACTGGACTATCAAACTCTGGAGCCTTAAAGAGAACAAGCCGCTCTACTCTTTCGAACACAACGGTGACTACGTCTACGATGTCGCCTGGTCGCCGACACACCCGGCTCTGTTTGCTGCTGTTGATGATTCAGGCAGGCTAGATTTGTGGAATCTGAACCAGGATACCGAAGTACCTACTGCTAGTGTTGTCGTCGATGGGTGTCCGGCTCTGAACAGAGTGTCGTGGACGCCAAGCGGATTACACGTCACTGTCGGAGACGACACGGGTAAAATATGGGTTTATGATGTTGCCGAGGTACGTATGATGAAAATTTTTTCTTGTTTATTTATACAATCTGGTGATATATACATTTGACTATTGAGGTTTACGAGGACAATACGAGGACAATATTTTATTTTTTTTCAAAACAGCATTTAGCTCATCCAAGGATTGACGAATGGAACAAGTTTTTGTATACACAACAGGATCTAAAGAATAATAAAGCAGATGAAGAATTGGATAAACTTAATCTTAACTCTGGGCCGTCTTCGTTAACATCTATGACATCTATTTCATCAGTTCCTCTGAGATAAAAAGTATAATTTTGTTTAATCATTTTAATAATTTCTTAGTAAAATTAATTCTATTTGCAATCATATAAAATATTGATTAAAATGTGCTTTGTGATGATTTTATTAGATGTAATATTAAATGGATAATCGCCAATATTTTCTACTTTTTGCTGTTGATAGAAATTAGTTATATTAAAACAATTCGTAATGCTTAAAGATATACATACTAAATGTGCTAAATATATTAATATAGTAATTCGAATATAAATATATCTTCAATTAATATGATAAGAGATATATCAGTTAAATATATATTATCAGACTTGTAAATAATATTTAAGTTGTAAAAGATTTTTAGGGAATTTGTTGATAGAAGTTATATATATGTATGTGTATGTTTCGCAATAATTTATAGATATTGTCAACACATAATATATTACATAATACTAAATTCAGGAGATTAAAGCCATTGATGAAAAATTATAAAAATAAATATTCTCTGAATTTTGTGCAACATTTGTTGGGACTATACTCATACTATACTCATTAAACTATATGTTGGTTATATAATCCCTTATATTTATAATCCTCATAATTTGCTCACACAATTCATTTTATTCATTCATCTCTCGCAATAATCGTTATTTTAAGAAATGTATATTTATTGAAACATTTTTGTAATATTTCGTTTAAGTCAATATAAATGTATATCATTTATTGTAAATGCTATAATATTGCAAATAAAATCCACATAGACACACGTTTTATTATGCTTCTATAACATATATTTATTTTACGTCATATATCTATTTTTTATATACAAAGAATAACGCATTCATAATTATAGGTTGTTTGTAATTCATCATGATGACGTCACTCTGCTGCTCGTGACGCATCGTAACGTGAGATAATTAGCATTGGGTTTAAATACGAATGACGATAACAGTGGCCTTCGCGATAAGGAAAAAGCTTGTTGATTAATAATCCAAGTATTTTCTAATCATTTTCTGTACATTAATACATTCCTCTTCTCTCATTAATTTATTTATGCCCATTAGCAGTGTTTGCTGTAGATAATTTCAAAATTATCTAGATAAAGATAAAGATCAAAATCCATAAATTTATCTTAGATGAGATAAAGATGATTTTGCTATTATTTAATCTAGATGAAAGATGAGAATTATTGCGATAATCTAGATAATTATCCAGATATTTTTGTTTATTTTATGAGACTATAAATATTTATAAAAAATATGACAGATTATAAATGGGATATTAAAATCATAAACACATATTCTTTCTTTTTTCCTAAAGAATATTTAAATAATAACAAAAAGGTATATAAATGATATGATAAATATTTATTTATTAATTTATATTTATAATATATTTATAATATATTTATAATATATTAATAATATAATAATCAATGTGTAACAATACATATATCATTTTTATCAAATATACATTAATGCATTGCACAAATTTAAGTAAAACAAGTACAAAATAAAGTATATTTCTAATATTATTTTCCAAATAAAAAAATATATCTTAGATATTTTAGATAGATTTTTAGAAGTTTGCCTGGAAAACTCTTTTGCATAATTAAAATGTCATCTTAGACAATTTTTAGATAAGATGACATTTTTTATCTATGATAAAGATACTTTGTATTTCTTCATCTAGTTAAAGATAAAGAAGATCCATTTCTTTATCTAGATAATTTTATCTAGATAAAGAAATGGATCATCTTTATCTAAATTTATCTTTATCTAGAATTATCTAGATAATTTTATCTAGATACCAGCAAACACTGCCCATTAGTGTTTCACGATAAACTGCACCATAATAAATAGAAAAAAGTAAGGGGGAAAGGCAAATCGTTCATTGGGCGAGAGGAAAAGGGAATAAGAAGGGATGATGCATCGACTGCTGACTTCACAGGCGCTAGCGCCGATCGGCGATGTCGTCAGTCGTCACTGGTAATGGCAAGAAGTGGTGACAGTTAGCGACTGTTCGTCGATCCGAACGGATGGAGTGTATTTTTATCACATTCAAAGTGTTCTAGTTCAGTGCACACTTTCTTCTCTTTTTCCTGTCACTTTTGTGAAAATACAGCACCGACGTGTCGCAATAGTCCGAAAAAAAACCACAAAGATGAGTGAAAAAACTGGTAAGTCTCAACTCACGAAACAGATTTTTTTATCTCGGAAGCAAATAAAAAATATTGAAAAATATTCAGGCATAAAATTGTTTTTGTTTAAAATTCCACGAAAACGAAAGCTTTTCATGTCGGAAAGATTACTCGACACGATTTTTCTGGGAACAGCTGTTTTTCTTTTCCTTTGAGCTTATTATCTGGAATTTAATATTATTTGAAGAACGCTAAAGGATTATTAAAAATGTAATTTTCGAGAAATATATTTATGAATAATGCCAATTTTATCACACGCGATAAGACAAAGATAAGCATTTTATGGACGTTTTTTCGTGTCCTTCAAGCAGAGCACATTGTAATGACACCAAAATGCAAGACATCGAATTCCACAACACTGATAATAGAGAGGCAAACCTTGGAGCCTCCGGCAGAGAATGGAAACGAGAACAATGTTCACATTGCCGGTGGCGATCATAAAGGAATTGTCATCAACAAACAGGCTGTGGCTGGTATGTCTTTATTTAGTCTCTGGTTGATGACACATTTGACAGATTATAATAAAATAATCAAAATCTTACAGTAACGAATGGAGAAGTATGCCCTGCCCAGCTCTGTCTACAATTCAGAGTGTTTTTGGTAAGCGCACAAACTGGAAAACACACACAGGAACAAAGAACTCTTCAATTCTGGTTCGCTGATACACTCTCTGAAATGGAACACCCAAGCATTGCGCAAGAATTTTTCAGAGAACTTGTCACTCCGCAAGAGTTTCCTAGAGGTGAATTGTAATATGATATGCATTGATTGATAACACATATATATTTCTTGGAACTACTTGAAACCAAATATGTCCAAACTAACTGTGAAATATAAATGAGCAATATTTCTATGTTGCTGCAACGCCATGAACTAAGATCTAATTTTAAACTATTGAGAGTAGAAAAATAAATTTGGATCTCAATTGTATGATATTTAAAAAGATTAATCAAATTTAGCATTAAAATTATTAATGTCAATTTTCTTTTGCATATTTGCAATATAATTACATTGATAAACTTTATTTTTTTTTTGTTCTATATATTTCTATAATATTAATAAATTTCTCTTTTTTTTTCTTAGATTATGTAGGATTTATAAAAAAAATAATGAAATTGATGCAACATAAATATCCCAGTATTAAAAAATTGGAAATAGAATTGAGACAATTAGAAGAACCAATCACACTTCCCAGCAGACCATGTGAGTAAAAAATTATTTTTTCTCTTAAATTAAAAATATACATAGACATCTATATACATGGAATATGAATGAATTTAATTATATATTTTATAAACTCTTGTTTTTGAATACAATCTTGTTTTGGCTAATCTATACATAATTTTTAAAAATCTATTACATAAATGTATATATAATAAAAAAAATCTATACATAAATCTGTATATACAGGAGAAGAGTTAACGGTTATTTGATTAAACTGATTGTTCTTAATGGTTCCTTATTGAAAGATATTAGAGCAATGTATCTCAAGTGCACATTGCAGCTGAATTCAAAAGGAAATACACACTTGACTAAAACTTTCAGTGGCTTACATATATCCATTATGTAATTTAAGTCAGAGTTTTCCAATTATATTTTGTGCTCAACAATTACATTATATTAAGCGTGGATATCTATTTCATACTTAATTTCTATTATTCACAGCTACTGGTCACTTACTATTCACACTTCCTCCCTCTGAGAAAGTTGTATGGACATCAGGTTCGAGAATGAAAAAATTTCAGCATTATTGTCACATTTTATTGATGTTTATTCTCTTTTTCTCATACACAGGCTAATAATCCAAGCAAAACTGATACACACATAAAGTTTTTTAGTACACAATAATTATTCGAGATAAAATGAATTTTTTTTGAATTTTTTTTAAATATAATTTTAATATGAAAAGATTAGCTGGTAGACATATACAGGATGTCCCAAAAGTCCCGGACCGGTCGAATATTTCATAAACTATGCACTTTAGAAAGAAATGTTTCAAACAAAAGTTGTATGGCTTAAAGGGGGCCAGATAGTGGCAATGATTTGACATGGGAGAGTCATTTGAAAGTCACGTGAAGATCACCGTCAATTTCTTAAACGTAACTCCCTATTTTTTATTGCATATTCGTGTAGCTTATCTCGAGAGCTTTCCAAAACACTATAATAAAGTATTTCTTCATTTAGTACTTTTCGAGTTATGAGGCTTGAAATCATTTCTTAATTTTACATACACCGTAAAATATCTTGTGAAATATTCATTTTTCGATTATCTTATCTTAATAATTTTATGTACAAAATGAAAAGAATCAATTGGTGTAAAGAAAAAACATAGTTGTTTTTAAGAAAAAAATATGTAATTTGCAATTAACAATTACATTTTTTTTTTTTAAACAGCTATGTGTTTTTTTACACCAATTGATTCTTCTCATTATTTTGTACATAAAATTATTAAGGTAAGATAATCGAAAAATGAATATTTTACTAGATATCTTATGGTTTATGCAAAATTAAGAAATGATTTCGAGCCTCATAACTCGAAAACTACTCAATGAAGAAATACTTTATTATAGTATTTTGGAAAGCTCTCGAAATAAGCTACACGAATATGTAATAAAAAATAGAGGATTCCATTTAAGAAATTGACGGTGATCTTCACGTGACTTTCAAATGACTCTCCCATGTCAAATCATTGCCACTATCTGATGGCCCCCTTCAAGCCATACAACTTTTGTCTGAAACATTTCTTTCTAAAGTGCATAGTTTATGAAATATTCGACCAGTCCGGGCCTTTTGGGACACTCTGTATATTTATATTGCTTGACCCAATATCATCTGGTAACCATAACAACATTGACTTAACATAGTTTACCCAGCATTATGATTTGCATTACACTGATTTATATATAATGATTTCCAGCAATTTGAAAGAATTAAAATGATACATTTTTTTCATTTTGATTAAAATAAAAAATAATAAATTATGCAAGTTTATAAAATATTCATTATATACTTTAATCATATATTTTTATTATATATTCACATAATTTTCATATTCTTTAATCAAAAGGATTTTCCGATCTGTTTAACGATCAATCACTAGAGAATGCATTAACTAGAGTGTAAAAAAACATCCCACTTAACTACTTGACTTGACCTAAATATCATATTTCCTACATGATGCATATTTATCCTATCACACAGCATGATTATAGACATATAAAATTGTTGCCCATTATACAAAACATATTTTACAACTTATCATACACAAATAACTTGACATATTATACAATAAATATCAGCTGTTTGGATTCTTTTAATTAAAATTTTATTTCTTGACAATGTGTTATTTCATGTATATTGATTTTAAATAAGAAGACTTACGTAACATCAGAAGTAAAGCACGAATCATTACATATTTTTAAAAATTAATATTTTTATTTTCCCTAAATTCTAATTACTATTAATTAATTATCCATTAGGAAATTACATAATACAATAACATTGTTACTTTAATTCTAATTTTATAAGGAAATGCATCCATGTAGAGCACGAATCTTCTAATCATGATCATTAGTTACCATATACATACATATATGTGTTCAAGTTCCATACATACACTTTAGCTGTATCCTTCACTAACGGTTCTAGCTCGACTCTAGCTATAGAAAAAAATTTTAGTTAAATCATGCACTATATTACAGTTGGATGACACACATTTTCAAAACTTCTACATATCTTTACATTGACAAAATAGAAGTAACTTAATACAAACTTAGATTCATCTACACTTTCATCTACATGGCAGAAAATTTAACTTGCATATGGAGTGCTGTTATTCTTGTTTCAATGCTATTAACTATAATTTAATATTTACAATAGGCATATATACGCGTGCAGCTTTAAAATCTGACAATTTATTAAAATCTCATTAATTCAATTATATGATTAAATTTTTCTTCTTTTTTTTTTATTAAAAGTATCTGCAGACGAAACCAGCATGGGTCAAGTAATTGAACTAACAGTAGAAAAAGTTCTGGAGCTCATCGAATCTGCCTATCCGAACCCGGTAACTGTGATTGATATATCAAAGTAAGTACTTATATTAAATAGAAATTAAAAGAGCAATATTAAAAAATATTATATGTAATATTATTTTTATAATAAATTGTTATACAGGATGTCCCAAAGTCCCGGACCGGTCGAATATTTCATAAACTATGAACTTTAGAAAGAAATGTTTCAGATAAAAGTTGTATGGTTTGAAGGGGGCCAGATAGTGGCAATGATTTGACCTTGGAGAGTCATTTGAAGGCGACGTAAAGGTCACCTTCAATTTCTTAAATGGAATCCCCTATTTTTTATTACATATTCGTGTAGCTTATCTCGAGAGCTTTCCAAAACACTATAATAAAGTATTTCTTCATTGAGTACTTTTCGAGTTACGAGGCTCGAAATCATTTCTTTTGCATAAACCATAAGATATCTAGTAAAATATTTATTTTTCGATTATCTTATCTTAATAATTTTATGTACAAAATAATGAAAAGAATCAATTGGTGTAAAGAAAACACATAGTTGTTTTAAAAAAAAAATGTAATTGTTAATTGAAAATTACATATTTTTTTTCTTAAAAACAATTATGTTTTTTCTTTACACCAATTGATTCCTCTCATTATTTTGTCCATAAAAGTATTAAGGTAAGATAATCGAAAAATGAATATTTTGCAAGATATTTTACGGTTTATGCAAAATTAAGAAATGATTTCAAGCCTCATAATTCGGAAAGTCCTTAATGAAAACTAACTTAATTATAGTGTTTTGGGCAGCTCTCGATGTGAGCTACCAGAATATTTAACTGAAACATTTCTTTCTAAAATGCATAGTTTATGAAATATTCGACCGATCCGGGACTTTTGGGACACCCTGTATATAACGTAATATAATATTATATATTTTTAATAAATTTTCGATAAATGTTTTTAGGGAACATGGATGGGAACCATTAGATGTGGAGGCTAAGTTAAAAGAACTTCAAGAAAAAGGGCTTATTAAAGCAATGGATCATGGGGCTTTCACACGTGTTGTTCATGAAGATACTCAAGTCCAAGTAATTTAATTAAATTTATTATTATTTAATTTAGATATAATTTGTTAACTAGTTTTTTCTGTAACTTACATGTGTCTTAATATTGTAAAATTTATTTTTAGGTAGTGAAGCAGATGCCAACAATGGCAAGTGCAAAACAGCCTACTATAGCTATCATTACAGCTCAGTATTGTGAGAAACTTGCTGTGGATTCAATGATTGAAAACAAGGAAACCTTCGTTCGTTACACTACTGTTGGTAAGATTTTCTATTATTTATTATTTACATTTTAATATTTACTATATATTACACAAGAATGAAAGTTCTGAAACTATAACACTTGCTATAGACCTGAATAATGTTATAAAATGTAAACTAATTCCTATTTCATTCTCGTAAGATAAATAATGATAACTAAATTTTTTGGAAATATTAGAAAAATAATTCTATCGACTCTTTTGCTTTTACTTCTACATACATTCTCTTATAATATATTATTGCATAAAATCGTTTTTAAGAATTTTTAATCAAATTATTTCTACTAAATTTCTATCATCATTTTAGTTATATCCTTATTTTTTCCTCTTTCGCTTCTCCATATGCAAATATGATTATTGATTTACATTTATTAATCGGCGGCAAATGCTCAAACAATATTGGGAATGTATATTTCACTATGCATGAAACTTTAGGTACCGCAAGCTCACCAGATACGACAGATGGAGTTCCGCGAGTGATATGCCGTTTTGGTAAAGTAGTTTATAACAAAAGTCTCTATTTTTATTTTAATGTCATTTCATAACTTGCCAACTGCTTGCGACCGAAGAATAATGCGGGGCCGTGACGCTATCATGTATTTCAGAATACAGTGTTTCTTTCATGCTATAAATCTTTGTTATGTTAGTCATTTTTTAATTTTTATCATAATAATTTCTCATGTATTATGAATATTTCACATTAACACAAAATGTTTTTGTACAATTTTATGTTTGTTTTATGCATAGTGTGTATTTTTGTTCTGTATATATTTTGTGTATTTATACTCACATTTTATGATGTACACGCATTATATCCAGTGTTTGCTACAGATAATTTCAAAATTATCTAGATAAAGATAAAAATTCGTAAATTTATCTTAGATGAGATAAAGATGATTTTGCTTTTACTTAATCTAGATGAAAGATGAGAATGATAATTATTGCGATAATTTAGATAATTATCTAGATATTTTTGTTTATTTTAGAAGACTATAAATATTTGTGAAAAATGTGACGCAGATTATAAATGGGATATTAAAATCATAAACACATTCTTTCTCTTTTCCTAAAGAATATTTAAATAATAGCAAAAAGATATATAAATGATATGATAAATATTTATTTATTAATTTATATTTATAATATATTTATAATATATTAATAATATAATAATAATATATTTATAATATATTAATAATAATAATATAAAAAATATATTTTAGATATTTTAGATAGATTTTTAGAAACATGCTTGGAAAACTTTTTTACATAATGAAAACGTCATCTTAGACAATTTTTAGATAAGATAACATATATTTTTCATCTAAGATAAAGATAAAGATACTTTGTATTTCTTTATCTAGTTAAAGATAAAGATTAGCCATTTCTTTATCTAGATGATTATCTAGATAATTTTATCTAGATACTAGCAAACACTGATTATATCATCTCGTTAAATTTTATCATATGTACGATTAATATCAATATTTTTATTTAAAAACGTTTTTATTCTCTACACAAGTATTTAATATATTGTTATTAAAGAAAAATTTATTTACTTCTCCTTTATTATTATTTTAGCATAATTCTTATATAATTCTTATATAATTCTTTTCAATACTCCTTAAAAATTTCAGTAAAATATTTATATTTTCAATAATTGCAACACATTCTATAAAATGTACTCATCATCTCAATGAAAATTTAACTTAAAACAAATAAGATTTTTATAATAAATACTATGTATTTATTTATTATTGGGTCTAGTACTATCAAGGAGATACATCTATGAATGAATTGTCATCTATTTTATCATCACATATAACACAGGTTCCGTTCTACTTTGTTGATTGCCGCACAACGCACAATGTATCATACGCAAATCAGGAATAGACGAAAACATAAACTAAAGTTTATAAGAATACAAAAAGTAAATAGCTATTGTTTGTTATAGGGGAATCAAACATTTATACTTTGGGCAATATCGGTGCACATAGGATCGTATGTACTAAATTGCCAACTGTGGGCCACACCAGGGAAGCAATGACCGCAGCTGGCAATACTACTACTAGATTATTAGGTATATACAATATTTTTTTCTTAACATTTGTTTTTCTTTTTTTTTAAATTTCTTTATATTCTTTTTCCATTGTTATATTCTTTGTTCTTGCATTCATGTATAGGTACATTCCAAAAGGTGGATTTTGTTTTTCTCGTTGGAGTTGGTGGTGGTGTTCCTCACTATACAGATTACAATAAACACGTGCGTCTAGGTGACGTAGTGATATCGCATCCAACACCGTATAATAACAAATATACATACGTTTATTGCGAAAGTGCCAAGATGAACGAAAATGGGAATTATCATTTCGAGACCAAAGAATATTGCCCGCCAAATCTCGGGCTTCAAGAAATCGCAGCAACCCTTAAAAAAGAGGTCATTTAGTCTATATTTATATGGAATTATAAATCAGTTTGCTGTAGATAATTTCAAAATTAAAGATAAAGATAAAGATAAAAATCCGTAAATTTCTCTTAGATGAGAGAAAGATTTTGCTTTTACTTAATCTAGATGAAAGATGAGATAATTATTGCGATAATCTAGATAATTATTTAGATATTTTTGTTTATTTTAGAAAACTAAATATTTGTAAAAAATGTGACGCATTATAAATGGGAGAATTAAAATCATAAACACATATTCTTTCTCTTTTCCTAAAGAATATTTAAATAATAGCAAAAAGGTTTATAAATGATATGATAAATATTTATTTATTAATTTATATTTATAATATATTTATAATATATTTTTAATATATTAATAATATAATAATAATATAAAAAATATATTTTAGATATTTTAGATAGATTTTTAGAAGCTTGCTTTAGATTTTTGGAAAACTTTTTTGCATAATGAAAACGTCATCTTAGACAATTTTTAGATAAGATGACATATATTTTTTATCTAAGATAAAGATATTTTGTATTTCTTCATCTAGTTAAAAATAAAGATGATCCTTTTCTTTATCTAGGTGATTATCTAGATAATTTTATCTAGATACCAGCAAACACTGTAAATAATATATATTTATTTGCTAAAAATATTTATTTTTTTTGTAGGCTGAAAACGATGCATTTCCGCCATGGCAGACATATACAAAGGAAGGTTTGGAGAATCTAATCAATCAGTCGGAACATGATTTTAATGCACCACCACCAGAATCCGATAAACTATATATGGCTATTGGAGAAAGAGATGTCATCGAAGTATCTCATCCAACTGCACCACAGGATTCCATAAATAAGAGGTAAATTATCAAAATAGATAAAAATATAAATTATCAAAATTATTAAAATAAAATATATATTAATATTTTTACAGAACTGATGGATGTTCTCGAATTCATCTAGCACCAGTGGCATCTGGTCGACAAATCGCACGAGATGATCAACTTAGACAAAAGTTTGCAAGTCGATTTGGCGCACTCGCATTTGACGCGGAAATGGATGCCGTAGTAGAGAGTATCTTAGGTAATTGTCGTGAAAATTTTGTCGTAATTCGCGGAATTGCTGATTATAAAGATGGTACTCGAATCAAAGAATGGCAACCTTATGCAGCATTAACGGCAGCCAGTGTAATGAAAGCTATAATCTGTGCTATGGATCCACCGACCAATGATTAATGTCGCTCTTTCATGTAGATTTTACATAGCGTACAATGCAACATGCATAATTTTTCATAGAATGAATAAGTTTAAAATCGAAATGACTGATAAGTATTGCACAAAGTGTGCAAAAATAATAAGTAGTTGACTTCGATAGGCTTCTCACTCGCAAAGTAGATTTCGCAACAATGCTTTATCTTATAATTTATGTGCCACTTAAATCTTTTATAGATTTTCGGATTAGTGCCATTTTTACAAACATTTAATTGACAGCATTTGTTAAGAAGTATCTTCCTACAATAACATTATTGATGTTGAAACCTAAATTAGTCAAGCATTTTTAAAAATATCGAGAAGAATATTCGGTTATTACATTGATCACATATTATTTAATTTCTTGTTGATGTACTAAAAACAAGAATAGTGCCATGTTGCATAATAAGTTATGAGACGAAAGGATTTCTGATAAAACTTATGTATATTCATATTAGATATGTTAAACGATGTTATATCAACATATTTATATTTTTGGTTTGAATACTAAATCAATGACACTTCTAAAAAGATTCTCTAGATAGATGAATTTAGTATCTTTGCTTAATTTAGCAAGGTAGTTGCATTTATATTTATTATGATTACAATAATGAAGCAACTGCATCAAATTTAAATGAAATTCTAGGATACTAATATTTATTCTATTCTCAAGGTAGACTGATGAAAAAAATTTAGTAAAGATTCAGTTTAACTTAATTTTACAGAATAGCTATTCATATTTGCTACAAGTAAAATTATCAAATACACCAGATCCAAATGAGATATAGGATACCAATTAAACAAGTTATTAAACAAATAAACTGTTCTAGCACTAGGTATAACTGGCAACTGAAAGTATAATTAACAGTATTTATCAAATCAGAATCAAATTGTTGTTACAATATTGCTGGAATTATACTACATGTTTATCAGAGTATATAATAGAGTATATATATATATATATATTAACGTTTTTAACAAATATCCATTCGATATACACACAATATACATCTAATCTACAGGGATCATAAATTCTTTTTTCTGAAAAATTTTTTTTTTAGATTACGATGTGGCATGCAACAAAGATAAATTAAATTTCTCTTAAAATGTGCCAATGTGTTCATTTAATGTCACTTAAATTCACTGCCCTTACAAAATTTAGATATCTTCGTGAATATTTTTGAAATGAATTTTTTGAACTTCTAGGTAAAATTTTTTCAAAATGTGCAATTTCCTGATAATTAGGGAATTCTGCATTTAAAATTACAGGGTAGTGCACTGAAATATTTAATATTTAAATATCAAATTGGAGAATATATATATATATATAAATATAAGGAGTAAAAGAAAAAAAAATATAAAAATATTATACATATATGTATAACATATATGTATAAATGTTGTTAATGATAAAAAAAATCTTAAAATTTTAGTGAAAATCAAAAATAACATAAAAATTACAAAAACACGATTGATTCTAATTAAAAACACCTTAAAACTGTATAAGCAAAATATTTATACTTATTTGTTTATATATTTTGCTGTGAAAATAATTTAATATTCCGCCTATATATTATGTGCGTATTGTGCAAATTTAAAAATATTTTTTATCATATGTAAAAGTCGTTTTCGAAAAATTTTATTTGCTTATATGTGTGTGTGTAATAAGAACATTGATAAACATTGTGAGGACCTAAAATTCACGCCAAACGATAAAAATCACTTGTTGTGTAGAAGCACACATTTGAAGTTTCTATCAAATATATGAATGATTATGATATATACACACACATCTACAGAGAGATACGTAAATATATATAAAATTTATATATAGATATACAGGGTGTATCAGAATTCGTGGATATGGAATGCACAGCGTGATAGTTTGTGCCAAAAAAAATAACTTTTTTTTTTTGGCAAAATTATTTGGCACATATACACTATTTTATTATTTTGCTAAAAAGAATTTTACAAGAACTACATGATAATTAAATATCGTTATTTTCAAAACAATTTATTTAATGAAAGAACATTTTCCCGACTTTTCAACAGGGTAATAACTAGTTGATTAATTAAAAGTTAAAAAAAAGTTAAAAAATTAATAATTTTCTCAACTTAGTTATTTTAAAAAGAGTTAACTTTTAACTTTAACTAGTTATTTTTAAAACGCATAAACTTAAACTTATTAATTTTCCCCCCAAATTTATTTGATGATTCATATTATTATTATTTAGAATAATTTAATTTTAAAATTACAATCTAATTTAATATAAAGTGAAATAATGCTTTTCAAAATTTTAATTTTTATCTTAACTAACGTTAATTTAATCTTAACGTAACTTTTATTGAGAATTTTTTATTTGTATAACTTTTAACATAACTAAATTAATTTTTCAACCTATTAACTTTAATTTAATTTAGTTTAAAAAAAATATAAACTTATCCAACTCTGCTTTTTAATGACTGAAAATAAAATAAATAGATTAGATAACATGTGAATAACTTTGATCCACACATTAGATTGAGAAGAATGGTTTCATTGTGCAATAGCAATCATCACACCAGAAATAGTCCAATGTATACAAAAAAATCTTCTCTGCAGAGTGAATATATACAAATAGAAAATCTGCATTTCGAACATATGCTTTACATTTAATTCATTCTTTTGAGGCCAAAAAAATTCTTGGAACAATAATTTTAGATCAAATTATTACGCTGTATATTCCATATTCGCGAATTCTGCTACACTCTGTATACATACAGAAATAAAAAAATAATATATAAAATGGAGCGCACATATACGCGCACGTAAATTTATATTAAATTAATATATCTAACGATTAAATTTAATTATTAATTAATATATTAATTTTAATTAATTAATTAATATTAATGAATTAATAATAATAATATTATTATTATTAATATTATTAATATATTTAATATTATTAATATTATTAATATAATTAATTAATAATATTAAATATATTAATATTATTAATTAATTAATAATATTAAATATATTAATATTATTAATTAATTAATAATATTAAATATATTAATATTATTAATATATTTAATATTATTAATTAATTAATATTAATAATAATTAAATTTAATTATTAATTAATAATTATTAATTATATTAATTAAATTAATTTATTAAATTAATTTATCTGACAGCAGATTCCTATTTTAGGCCTAATAATTAATATACGTTATGTATGATTGATGAAATTTCTTTGTAGCGTCGAATTCCCTTGTCAATCGAAAACTTAAAAGCTTTAAGCTTCCAATCGTGCATTGCGTTATTCTTACGCGCTTTCAATACTAGTCGTATAACTGTGTTTTTTCTACTTATATATTTACATTTACTACTTATGACTATGATAGAGAGAGAGAGAGAGAGAGAGAGAGAGAGAGAGAGAGAGAGAGAGAGAGAGAGAGAGCAAGAGAGAGAGAGAGAGAGATTATAAGTAGCTAATATAAATTATTATATACGACTGCTTAATTCATATCTCTTATAGAAAAGTTAATTTTCATAATAAACTAGTTTCTACTTGATGAATAGGATAAGTCATTATTTTATGATTTTGTAAATTATTTATAATATATAATTTTAAGTTTTGAACGCAGCTTTCAGTGTCTAGAATCTTAAAAATTTAATACACAGTTGGAAACATTTAAAATACGACATAGCATATTAAACTATTGATATTTCAGTTTTTTTTCTTTAAGAAAAATCATTATTATAAAATTTCCAAATTTTTATTTTAATGTCTTTATATTTTGCAAAATATATATTTTATTGATCTTTATATATATCCTTATGTGGATGTATATTATAATACGCATTTTATTTTGCTATACTTAATTAAACATGTTAAATTATTTATTATTATTATTAAAATCATTAATGGATTTTTAAGTCATGGTAACTTCCGAGAAGAATGTGTGCTTCAAATTTGTCCGTAAATTAGTCTTCCGATATAAAGCATGAAGATTTATGAAAAATCTAAAATAAAACCTTGATATTCGAGCTTAGATATTAAGAAATAGAAAGTGTCTATATAACAGTCATACGAGCAAAAAAATTGATACTTTATTCTAATTCATATTATACAGGGTGTCCCAAAAGTCCTGGACCGATCGAATATTTCATAAACTATGCACTTTAGAAAAAATGTTTCAGACAAAAGTTGTATGGCTTGAAGGGGTCCATCAGATAGTGGCAATGGGAGTCATTTGAAAGTCACATGAAGATCACCGTCAATTTCTTAAATGGAACCCTCTCGAGATAAGCTACACGTATATGTAATAAAAAATAGAGAATTCCATTTAAGAAATTGACGGTGATCTTTCACATTTCTTTCAAATGACTCTCCCATGTCAAATCATTGCCACTATCTGATGGCCCCCTTCAAACCATACAACTTTTGTCTGAAACATTTCTTTCTAAAGTGCATAGTTTATGAAATATTCGACCGATCCGGGACTTTTGAGACATCCTGTATAATTATAAAACGCAAAAATCTCATTGCGATTATAAGGACTTAAATATCGCTATTGAATTGAATGATTTTTACGCAAAAAAATGAACACGCAGCAATTAAAAACACTGCACATTTTCACATATGAATGATCCGAGATTCACGAATGATAATATATTTCATTCATCAGAGAGCTGCTGTCTGTTGATCCAGAGAGTAGAATAGGGCTTGGTATTTAATCTGCTTCACAGCAGAAAAGAAGCTGTGATAATTCTGGTATTCTTTCGTGTAAGATGAAATAACGTGGTATGACCATAATAAATATGATAAAAATGAGTTTATAGATTTTATTATAAGTTGTGCAATTTACACATTATACACATGCGGGGACGGAATGCGGACGCGATACATACATATAATATATATTAATTTTTAATTTAGTAAAATATGTATTTTGCATTCCGTCTAAACGCATCCGAGTCATTACATATGTCTAAGCGCGCATAAATAATTTAACACTTATTTACATGAAAATTACTTTCATTACTATTTTATTTTTTTCTGAAATGTTCATCGATATTATGTGAAAATTAAGTTATGTATGTGTGACTGTGTATTATTATTAATATTATTATTAAATATACAATCAATCGTTAATATTGTCTTTGTCAATACATGTCCTTAGAGAAAATTTATCATCATTAAACTTTTTATGCCGTGCATCGTTATTTAAAGTATACAGGGTGTCCCAAAAGTCTCGGACCGGTCGAATATTTCATAAACTATACACTTTAGAAAGAAATGTTTCAGACAAAAAGTGTACGGCTTGAAGGGGGCCACCAGATAGTGACAATGATTTGACCTTGGAGAGTCATTTGAAGGTGACTTCAATTTCTTAAATGGAACCCCCTATTTTTTATTACATATTCGTGTAGCTTATCACGAGAGCTTTCCAAAACACTATAATAAAGTATTTCTTCATTGAGTACTTTTCGAGTTATGAGGCTTGAAATCATTTCTTAATTTTACATAAACCATAAAATATCTAGTAAAATATTCATTTTTCGATTATCTTACCTTAATACTTTTATGTACAAAATAATGAGAGGAATCAATTGGTGTAAAGAAAACACATAGTTGTTTAAAAAAAAAATGTAATTATTAATTGCAAATTACATATTTTTTTCTTAAAAACAATGTTTTTTCTTTACACCAATTGATTCTTTTCATTATTTTGGACATAAAATTATTAAGGTAAGATAATCGAAAAATGAATATTTTACTAGATATCTTATGGTTTATGCAAAATTAAGAAATGATTTCGAGCCTCATAACTCGAAAAGTAATGAAGAAATACTTTATTATAGTGTTTTGGAAAGCTCTTGACGTGAGCTACCAGAATATTTAATAAAAAATAGGGAGTTCCATTTAAGAAATTGACGGTGATCATCACGTGACTTTCAAATGACTCTCCCATGTCAAATCATTGCCACTGTCTGATGGCCCCCTTCAAGCCATACAACTTTTGTCTGAAACATTTCTTTCTAAAGTGCATAGTTTATGAAATATTCGACCAGTTCGGAACTTTTGGGACACTCTGTATGTCAAATTATCTCTATTCTTCGATAAAAATTTCTTAAAAATTTATCATCTTTCTTTGATACAATTTATTTTTTCAGTATTCTCAGTGCCACTATCGGATTTTATGGTTTCCGTGGCCAGTTTCTGCATTTCTTGTTCCTTCGAATTCACTTTAACGTATTGATTCCATGGTTGCTCCTTTGAAGTACCAAAAATTATATATATAATACCACCTACTATCGAATTGGCAGCCGCGATTAGAAAGACCAAACGCCATTGTTCCATAGTTTGCTGTAGATAAATGTTACAATCGATATTACAAAAAGAGATTTAAAGATAAAATGTTTACGAATCTTTCTGCAAATTAAACTTACGTTATTATTCGTTAATATACCAACAAGTGCCGGCGAGATAAAACCAGCCCATGTGATCATCATGTTAGCGAATCCAAGGAGGATGCTAGCGTAGTTTGGACCAAGGTCGACGAGGCTTGTCAAAGTGGCAGCAGAAATAGCACCATTAACTGCTGTACCCGCCATCATGAAGATGATCGCGAATAATGGATGACATCCGCTAAATCCAAGGGCTATAATAAAAATGCCTTGAACACCGGTACAGACGAAGGTGGCCATTTTCCTGACGTTCGTTAAACTCATTCGCTTTGTACGTAACAGCCAATCGCTTATGATAGAAAAGAAGTACGAGAAGATCATTCTAAGGACATGCGGTGCTCCTGCCAGGATTCCAGTCTGAAAAAAATAATTGAGATTTGGATTTTGCAGAAAACACAGTTGACCGAGAAAGTCCAATAAGTGAAAAAACCATAGTAAATTCTTTCATATTTTTTACTATCCTAAATTTTATTTAATGCAATAAACTAATAAAAACTATATAACATTAAAATATATTTGTAAATAACTTTATGCAAAAAAGTATTTTTGTTTTAATTAATAAATATATTTTTGCTGACTTTTATTAATGTTAGATGTACAGGGTGTCCCAGACCACCCGTATACCTCTATCAAAATGAAAATAAATGGCTTTTATCAAAAACGCGAACAATTTTGAAGTAAATCGAGTACGCTCTATCAAATGGTGATATTTCCAACTTTTGATTCCGACCGGAAATAGGCCATCCGGATCGGAAGTTGAATTTCCTTAGGGGAACATGGTACTTTTTATTACAGATTCGAATTGTACATGAAAAAATAAGAAACTTTTGTATCAAACGTTTTTTCTGAAAGTGCCTCTGTCAATCTTAAAATTGACTTTCATTATTTCATCACAGTTACTTTCGAGGAATGTTAAAATAAATAGAAAATCTTTTTATCAATATTCGTAAAATGTGTCTTAATTTAAGCTTTATTTATCTAAAATAAAACCTATACTAGATTAAGAATCGAAATAGCAAATAAATTAATTTTTTATTAGAAAAAATAATTAGATATAATTATATCTACACAATTTATACAGGGTGTTCGGAAATCCAACCGACAAATTTTCAGAAATTGTCGGGGGCACCATAAGAATCATTTTTTGCAAATGAACCTGGGGTTGGAAATGTATCATTACATCGCTACGGCTTACGGAGTGTTCGAAAGATACGGGACCTCGAAATATCACAAAAAATAGAAGTTTTGCAAAAAATTGTTTCAAACAAAAGTTGTGGGGTGTAAAAAGGTCTATTTAGTGGCGTCATGTGTTTGACCTTGGATGGCGTCGCCAAGGTCACCACCTTGAATTTTTGAAATGGAACCCTCTATTTTTTATTGCATATTCTTGTAACTTATCTCGAGAGCTTTTCAAAACACTGTAATAAAGTATTTTTTCATTGAGTATTTTTCGAATTATGAGGTTTAAAATAATATCTTAATTTTACATAAACCATAAAATATCTAGTAAAATATTTATTTTTTTATTATCTTATCTTAATACTTTTATGTACAAAATAATGTGAGGAATCAATTGATGTAAAGAAAACACATAATTGTTTCGAAGAAAAAATATGTAATTTGCAATTAACAATTACATATTTTTTCTTAAAAAACAACTTAGCGATGTAATGACATGTTTCCGACCCCAGGTTCATTTGCAAAAAATGATTCTTATAGTGCCCCCGACAAATCTCTGAAAATTTGTCGGTTGAATTTCCGAACACTGTATAAATTACGTAAATATAATTATATCTAATTATTTTTTCTAATAAAAAACTAATTTATTTGCTATTTCGATTCTTAATCTCTATTACAGGTTTTATTTTAGATAAATAAAGCTTAAATTAAGAAACATTTTACGAATATTGATAAAAAGATTTTCTATTTATTTTAACATTTTTAATAGGAAAAATCAATTTCTCCCGATTTTTTATATATGTATGTGTATACGTACACTTCTATACACAGGGTGTCCCATTTAAATCCATCCAGTCGAATATCTCGAAAATCAAGCCCGAGAGAGAAAAATGTTTCAGACAAAAGTTGTATGGTTTCAAGGGTGCCATAAGAGGATACCATTGGTTTGACCTTGAAGAGTTATTTGAAGGTCATGCGAAGGTTACTTCAATTTTTTTAAATGAAACACCCTATATATTTTTGCATATTCTTGTAGTTCATCTCGAGAGCTTTCCAAAACACTATAATAAAGTATTTCTTCATCGAGCACTTTTCGAGTTATGAGACTTGAAATAATTTCTTAATTTTACATAAATCATAAAATATTTAGTAAAATATTCATTTTTCGATTATTTTACCTTAATATTTTACCCTAATATTTTTATGTACAAAATAATGAAAGGAATTAATTGGTGTAAAGAAAACATACAGTTGTTTTTAAGAAAAAATATGGAATTGTTAATTGCAAATTCAAACCAATGGTATCATCTTATGATCCCCTTGAAACCATACAATTTTTGTCTGAAACATTTTTTTCTCTCAGGCTTGGTTTTCGAGATATTCAACTAGATGGATTAAAATGGGACACCCTGTATATTCCTCTCCCAACCATAAGAAAAAATTACGATAATAATTGCAATCAGAATATGTTGATTCAATATAATAATTGAATCATAATTTTGTTCGATTATAAGATTATGAATGTGAAATGTATAACTTACAGTATTAATATCCCAACCGTGAAGGAAATTGAAATAAGTCGGTGCCTGTGTCATTAACGTCAAGAAACCCCAAGCAGAACTCCAATGTGCGGCAATGGTGATCCATATTGGCCCTGACAGAAATATTGATTTCCAAGGTATTTCCGTTTTCTCTTCGTCAACAGACTTAGAAATGCTGTCCATGATATAATTTTTTTCATTATCGGAGATTCGAGGATGCTGCTGCGGCGAGTCGTACACGAGAAATTGCCATAAGCAGTACCTAATTTTATTATTAAGAAAATTTAAGATAATTTTATTATTATAAGATAATTTTATTATTAAATTTATTAAGAAACAAGATAAAAACATCCAAAAAACATCTCTCATCGCAAATTTAAAATAATAGCAATCCTAGATGCACTCACCATATTACACCTAACAAAGATGTGACATGGAAAGATGCACCCCAACCGAGGAAACTCGTGACAGCTGCACACAGGGGGTAAGTGATTGCAGCTCCCACGGAACTTCCTGAAAATTAGTTTGAAATTTAATATCAATTCTTGTTTTCTATCATATCTCGCCTTATATAATGAAAATAGTTTGCATGATACTTTACCAAGATAAGCGCTAACGAATCTGCTTCTTTCGTTTGGCGGAATCCACTTCGCCGTCATATCGTGCATCGAGGGCCATATTACACCCTAAAATAAAAATAGATGTTAGTAATACGTGTGTATATTGGGATATACAGGGTGTCCCAAAAGTCCCGGATCGGTCGAATATTTCATAAACTATGCACTTTAGAAAGAAATGTTTCAGACAAAAGTTGTATGGTTTGAAGGGGGCCAGATAGTGGCAATGATTTGACCTTGGAGAGTCATTTGAAGGTGACGTAAAGGTCACCTTCAATTTCTTAAATGATACCCCTTATTTTTTATTACATATTCGTGTAGTTTATCTCGAGAGCTTTCCAAAACACTATAATAAAGTATTTCTTCATTGAGTACTTTTCGAGTTATGAGGCTTGAAATCATTTCTTAATTTTGCATAAACCATAAAATATCTAGTAAAATATTCATTTTTTGATTATCTTACCTTAATACTTTTATGTACAAAATAATGAGAGGAATCAATTGGTGTAAAGAAAACACATAGTTGTTTTTAAAAAAAAATATGTAATTGTTAATTGCAAATTACATATTTTTTTCTTAAAAACAACTATGTTTTTTCTTTACGCCAATTGATTCCTCTCATTATTTTGTACATAAAAGTATTAAGGTAAGATAATCGAAAAATGAATATTTTACAACATATTTTACGATTTATGTAAAATTAAGAAATGATTTCAAGCCTCATAATTCGGAAAGTACTTAATGAAAACTAACTTAATTATAGTGTTTTAGAAAGCTCTCGACGTGAGCTACCAGAATATTTAATAAAAAATAGGGAGTTCCATTTAAGAAATTGACGATGATCTTCACGTGACTTTCAAATGACTCTCCCATGTCAAATCATTGCCTATCTGATGGCCTCCTTCAAGCCATACAACTTTTGTCTGAAACATTTCTTTCTAAAGTGCATAGCTTAAGAAATATTCGACCGGTCCGGGACTTTTGAGACACCCTGTATAAGTAAACTTTTAAAAATCAATTAATTTGTTTCCTAATTTTTACAAGAACGTAGCCTACCGCGATTAATCCTTGTAACATTCGAAGAATTATCAAGGCATATAGATCCGTCACATAAGGAACGAGAAATCCTAACAGAGCTGTTAATAAATTTCCCAAGCCGAATACAAGTTTCGTACCATATCGCCTGGCTAGAAGACCACCAGGCAATTGTGTTAACCAATGCAACCAATAATAAGCACCCAATACCAATCCCTGTTCGTACTCATTCCAGGCGAATCGGTCTTCATACTAAACAAAATTGCAAAATATCAAAGAAAATATTCCGGAAAATGTCAACACGAAAGATTTTTTTGTTTATCAAAAATATAATATTTAAAGATATCTCTTCAAAATACCGTAACATTTTCGAATAACGGAGTAATTGAGAAAGAAGAAGACTCGTTATTGTTCTGAGATGTTTCATTGGTCCAGAATAATGTATTATTTTCTACATTGCATTGCGTTACCGCTGCAGGTTTCGAATATGGTAGCACCATTGCAACTATGGTAAGGTTTAAATTTAATCGCAGCATATAATTAATAGCAAAACCACAAAAGACTAGGAGCCATAAAACATTTCGGCAAGTAAACAATTCCTTGTCTGTAACAAGTAAAATACAATTTGTAAATGAGGTTTCAAAAAAATTATTACACATAAAATAACTATGAAAATAGTTATTTTATGTGTAGTAATTTTTAGTAGTAATTATATCAAAATGAATTAAATTAAAAGACTTATAATACAATATCTCCAGATTACGTGTAATATTTTTTACATTCTTTAATTGATGTTTGATGAATTACAACATTATATATAAATAAAAAGAATAGAAGTATTATTAGAAGAGCTTATCGCGATATTTAAACATTTGAAATATTTAAGACATTGTAAAAATAAATTTTATCAAATAATATTATACTACAAGTATACTAAGGGTGTAAAATTTTTTAAAATTTACTTACTTTTCTCCATTCTATTATTTTTTTTAAATATCAAGTTTAATTAAAAATTACTTATTATTGATAGTAATTTTTATCACTTTTATATATTTTTACACATACACATTTACAATATTAATGTTTCAGATATCGATATCAGATAGCGATTCATTACGAGATATCAAAAAAGCAAATTTTTCGTATTATATCAATTTTTCTTATTGAAGAAAAATTAATGAATTCTTATTTTAATAATTTATCTTATGGCATGAGTTCTTCTCGATCTCTCATGTATTAATCAGTTAATGTCACGGCAAACACTGCATGACTGTTCCTCGAGCAGAATCGCGTGGACCGCAGAAATCTATGCAGAGATCCTCTACCTTCGCAGAAATCATGATAAGATACATGCCTCTAACTTGTAAAAACTTCCAAATTCTTGTATTGTGTATACTTATGATGCAACAATTTTGTAATGTTAACGAGATATTCTTCAGTATCTTATACAATCAAAAAGTCGTATTCACACATAATTTATTTGTGCTTTATCTAATGCATATTTGGTGTGATAAGGTACATATATTGGACTATTAGAAGATAACAGCGTCACGCTAATTTTCTATGTTTTTATTTTATGCCACATATATATATTATCTCTTAATTCAGATATGTCATTAATATAAACACGAAATATATCTGTTATCCTTGTCATTTATTAATAATAACAAAGATAAATAGAATGAAAATATATATATTAAATATATATATATATATATATATATATATATATATATATATACAGGATGTTTCATTTTAATCGCCCCAGGCAAATATCTCGAAAAATATGGAAATTATGAAAAAATGTTACAGACAAAAGTTGTATGGTTTCTAGGGGGACATAAGATGGTGCCATTGGTTTGACCTTGAAGAGTCATTTGAAGGTCACGTGAAGGTTACTTCAATTTTTTAAAATGGAACACCCTATATATTTTTACACATTCTTGTAGCTCATCTCAAGAGCTTTCCAAAACACTATAATTAAGTTAGTTTTCATTAAGTACTTTCCAAGTTATGAGGCTTGAAATTATTCCTTAATTTTACATAAACCGTAAAATATCTTGTAAAATATTCATTTTTCGATTATCTTACCTTAATACTTTTGTATACAAAATAATGAGAGGAATCAATAGTGTAAAGAAAACACATAGTTGTTTCTAAGAAAAAATATGTAATTTGCAATTAACAATTCCATATTTTTTCTTAAAAACAACTATATGTTTTCTTTACACTAATTGATTCCTCTCATTATTTTGTACATAAAAGTATTAAGGTAAAATAATCAAAAAATGAATATTTTACAAGATATTTTATGTAAAATTAAGAAATGATTTCAAGCTTTATAACTCGAAAAGTACTTCATGAAAAAATAATTAATTATAGTGTTTTGAAAAGCTCTCGAGATAAGCTACAAGAATATGGAATGAAAAATAGTAGGTTCCATTTAAGAAATTTAAGGTAACCTTTATGTGACCTTCAAATGACTGTTCAAGGTCAAACTAATGTTGCTCTCTTATGGCCCCCTCGAAACCATACAACTTTTGTTCGAAACATTTTTTCATAATTTCCATATTTTTCGAGATATTTGCCTGGGGCGATTAAAATGAAACACCCTGTATATTAAATGTTTCAATTCTCATCTTATTGCATCTCTTGGTAAGACATTATGCAAGTTTATGAATATGCATATCATGAACAAATAAATACAATTTTTTCTCGTATCACATTGAAATCGTACACGAAATAATGATGATTTCAATGGCATTGCAAATTGCTCGCGTGATTGTTGAAAATTTATGATAGCTATTATATACAACCAATATTTAGCTAGATATAAATCATTAACAATTGCGATAGGGACATAAGCACGAATATATCGTTGGAATATATATTGTTTTGTTTTAACTATTGAAATAAACTAATTTACGCATATTATATTAATTATATTAAGCATAATTTAATCTATTTTGTTTGTACTAATAAATAAAAATTACAGGAAGAATTATGGAAAAAAAGTTTATCAGTTTCGTTTCTTTACTTCAAGGTTTATATAAAAATTTATAAAATAGAAATAATTATTAATTTTATTTTATTTTTCACGTCAAAATAGAGAAAGTTATTTCATTTCTTTTTATACATACACACATACATATATTTTTGTTTCTTTTAGGAATTATCTGAATTATAAATAAGCATAAATTCGCAATTAAATTCTTATAAGGGTTTATTTATTTATTGAATATAGATCGATACATCTTGGAAATATTATTGAGATGTGAATTATCAAACTGTAGTATATCATCAAAATAATATTGATCTCTCATAATTCTTTCTCTGAATACTAACTACGTTTACATATTACCCTTCATCGAGTTTAATAATATTCGTAGTTCTAAATGATCTAAACTGCTCAGAAAATGTGACAGTCATTCCATTCTTAAGAGAAATAGTTGTGATTGATCAGTAGAATATTACGAATGTTTCGATTAAAGAAGTGATGTGTAAATGTAGTCAATAAAATGAAATTCAGGAAGTTAGAATCTGATCTTTTTTGTGTCTGTTAAATGGATAATGAGATCAATATGAGATAAACATATGTATTATTATTTATGTAATATAGGGGTTTTAAATTAATGTTACATCATTGAATATCGCTAATATGTCTATTATACAGGGTGTTATTTTAATATGTCTATTATACAGGGTCCTATTTTAAATAATACGCTCAAATATCTCCGAAACGATACCTTAAATAAAAAAATGTTTCAAACAAAAGTTGTATGGCTTGAAGGGGGCTATCAGATGGTGGCAATGATTTGACATGGGAGAGTTATTTGAAAGTCACGTGAAGATCATCGTCAATTTCTTAAATGGAACTCCCTATTTTTTATTACATATTCTTATAGCTTATCTCGAGGGCTTTCCAAAACACTATAATAAATTATTTTTCCCTCAAGTACTTTTTGAGTTATAGGGCTTGAAATTATTTCTTAATTTTAAAATTCTTAATTTTAAACTGTAAAATATCTTATAAAATATTCATTTTTCGATTATCTTACCTTAATACTTTTATGTACAAAATAATGAGATGAATCAATTGGTGTAAAGAAAACACATAGTTGTTACGAAGAAAAAAATATGTAATTTGCAATTAACAATTACATATTTTTTCTGAATTTTTCTATTTTACGGTTTATGTAAAATTAGGAAATAACTTCAAGCCTTATAACTCAAAAAGTACTTGCAAGAAAAATATTTTATTATAGTGTTCTGGAAAGCCCTCGAGATAAGCTATAAGAATATGCAATAAAAAATAGGGGATTCCATTTAAAAAATTGACGGTAATTTTCATATGACCTTCAAATGACTCTCCGAGGTCAAATCATTGCCACCATCTGATAGCCCCCTTCAAGCCATACAACTTTTGTTTAAAACATTTTTTTATTTAACGCACCGTTTCGGAGATATTTGAGTGTATTATTTAAAATGGGATACCCTGTATATATGAATTATAACTAATGTAAGAGTATTAAATATGTATATTTAAATCTACTAAATATATAATAATAAATATATAAATCACTCAATATATTTTAAATAAAATAAAATCGATAATAAAGTTAAATTTTTAGAAAACTATAAAACTTATTTAAAAATGAAAGATTAAATTTATATAGAAATCAGAATTAATTTATAGCAGATTAAATATATTCTCTTATAGCAGACTAATACTCTCTTTAAACTTTTATTAAATTTTAATTGTGCGGATTTGAAGATAATTATAAGTTAAGTTCTTCAACAACAACAACAAAATAATTTTGGAATTTCTTTCTAACAGTGATTTATATACAATTGATATAATAATATTCTGTGTTTTATTGTAATATACAGTGTACTCTTTACAAAAATATGAATAACAACGGCGCCGCATAAGCATTTATTCAAGAAAGATAATCATTTATTTCAAGTTTATCGATAAAATAAAGCTTCCATTGTTTCTTCGTATCTCAATATGCTTTGAATGAAATTTTAATCATCTTCTCATACAATCACATTCCTAATTATTTTAACTGAAAGCGATAGCTATATGGTGTGACAAAGAGTGTGCTATAATCAGTCATATCTGTAATAGTTATATGAATAAATTATCTTCAATAACATTTCATACAAATTTCAATATATCGCGACAGTTAGCTACAATAAATCATGATTAGCAAATCAAATAAAAATAATATTTACTCTTTACAGTGGCGAAAAATTTACAAGTAATCTTATATTTTTTATTTGCTGTTCTTATTTTATTTTCTTTTTCTAAAGTCTCCCTAAATTTTTTTATCTTTTTAAACTACTTTAAAATCTTTATCGAAAATTTTATGCAATATTGTAAGATGATTATGATGAAATATAACTGGCTGAAACGTCATAAATTACGCAAACTGGAACAGAATATTGCGACGAATAAATTGATAAGACGTTAACTCTAATAAAATAAGAAATAGTTACACATTAGCCAAAAATTATTTCCTTTAGAGAAGATTCCTAAGGGATCCCTATAACAGGGATTACTGTTTGTTTATTCAGTATAATTATTTTCTAGTTTAAAATATAATAAATAACTCATAAATAACTGATAAACAACTATCTTTTTTCCATTATCTATAATCTTCTTTTAATTTTTACAATAGATAAACTATGAATGACGAATTTAAAAGATATGTAAAAAAAAATAATATATTAATATTCAAGAAATAAAAATTTATATATTTATCAAATATTATTATCATGTATAATTGCACATTACGATAATATTTGAATCATTTTAAATAGATTAAAATATTTTTTTAATATACACATATTTTATATCTACACAATTACTATAAAATGATTTTATAAATGAGATTTATACGCAATACTTTATGCGCGGTAGAGTCATATGTCTAAACGATAATGTCATCGTTGCACAATTTCAAATAATCAATATTAAAATGAGCTCATTCTCGCTTACTAATTTATTATTATTATCATATAATGTTTGATTTTAAGCTATGTCTTAATAAAAACAAAAATTTACGATATAAAAATATATAAGTGCTACATTTTATAACAATTCTAATAATAAATGATACAATATTACAAAATTGCTTATGCGTATACTAAATATGTATGCCTATCAAATCTTATCGTTAACTGCGATAACGAATTTTTGTACTCCGATGTTCTCTATTTCTATCTCTCAGTTGTAAAGGAAAGAGAAAAAGAATTTGGTAGGTAAAAATTTTATATTCCGCAAGGGAATTTAAAATTTCCAAATGTTTACTCACAATAAGTTTTAAAAAATGCTAAATTAAGGCTGAAATATGAAAAATAAAAATTTGGAATTATATTGATTGTATTAAAATACAATTTTGTCTCTTCGGGAATACATTGCACGTAACTGCGTAATATATTCTTCACGATCGCTAAAATGTTATTATATCGAAATATAATAACAACCGTATAAATAGAAATAGAAATTATAGAGTTCTCTCTAAACGCGTTTTGCAACATAATTTATTAAAGAAAAAAAAATAATACAAAATTAATTCACAATTTATATATAGCATAATACATGTCTAATCTGGCTGCATGAACTTTGCATTTTGCATCTCGTATGTATGTACTTTTTTTCACCAAAATATATTTTTTTACATTAGTCACGAAATGAAACTCTAAAGAGAACGTCATCAGTTGACGCAATATCTCGTTTCTAATTTATTAAAGAAAAAAAATAATACAAAATTAATTCACAATTTATATATAGCATAATACATGTTTAATCTGGCTGCATAAACTTTGCATTTTGCATCTCGTATGTACTTTTTCTCACCAAAATATATTTTTCTACATTAGTTAATCACGAAATGAAACTCTAAAGAGAACGTCATCAGGTTCACGCAATATCCCGTCTTCTTACATCGCAATAATTGGAATACCAAAAATAAAAATTTATTATATGTGATAAATGTGCATACTTGACACATTCATAATTAAACGGTAGTTATTTTAGAAGAAAAGTGTGGGCACTTTTTTTAAAATAAATAAATAAATAAATAAATATGTGTATATATATATATATATATATATATATATATATATATATACAGTATCCCAAAAGTCCCGGACCGGACGAATATTTCATAAACTATGCACTTTAGAAAGAAATGTTTCAGACAAAAGTTGTATGGTTTGAAGAGGGCCATCAGATAGTGGCAATGATTTGACATGGGAGAGTCATTTGAAAGTCATGTGAAGATCACCGTCAATTTCTTAAATGGAATTCTCTATTTTTTATTACATATACGTGTAGCTTATCTCGAGAGCTTTCCAAAACATTATAATAAAGTATTTCTTTATTGAGTACTTTTCGAGTTATGAGGCTTGAAATCATTTCTTAATTTTATATACACCGTAAAATATCTTGTGAAATATTCATTTTTCGATTATCTTACCTTAATAATTTTATGGACAAAATAATGAAAGGAATCAATTGGTGGAAAGAAAAAACATAGTTGTTTTTAAGAAAAAAATATGTAATTTGCAATTAACAATTACATATATTTTTTTCTGATTTATCTGATGGCCCCCTTCAAGCCATACAACTTTTGTCCGAAACATTTCTTTCTAAAGTGTATATTTTATGAAATATTCGACCGGTCCGGGACTTTTGGGACACCCTGTATATATATTGACTAGATTAAAAGCATAGATAGATTTTCACATAGTGATAAATAATACGTCATTCAGTATTCAAGAATACGACAGTTCTTATCTCATGTTTATATTAATTTATGTATTACTATTTTTACATATTATGTGAATAAATATTGGAAAAGCAGATCAATTTGAAATTTAAAGGAAGAACCAATCTCTTTCTAAATCACACGTCCGTTCTCATGATGCAATATCGCGTTCTATTTCCTTTCTACTCGAAAAACTGGAAAAACAAGTATTTACAAAAAAACAAATAAGATGGCTAATTACAACGCGATATCTTTTAGTCAGAATTAATTTGAACAAACTGGAGGAGAGAGAGATCGGCAATTGAGCAGGCGTTTTCCCTTTCGCATTTCTTGTTTGATTCTTTTTAATCGTGATCGGTCGGCAATTTCTCAATCACCAGGAACTAATTATGGAAATTTTAATGTATGGCTTGAGAAAAAACTGTTTTGCCGTCAATTTCGTCTGCTATAACAGATATGATGAAATCTATCGTGTTATTTCTCACTCGTCACATTAAAATCATAGCATTTATCGGCATGTTTTTTTCTGCGTTGATTATATGAGCGAACTACAAGATTATTATATATCAGAATAAAATCAAAGAGAAAGTGCAAATAGTTTTAATATCTCAATGATAAATTTCAACATATGTTCCATCGCAAACAAAACCATGAGTTATATGTCAGATAATATATTTTAATGAAACATGATAATTAGTATAAAATGGAAAAAATTTAAAAAGTTTACAATATCGACATGTAAACATTCTTGAGTTCTTAAATTAATTATTTGATAACATTCAAATTTTTCAGATATTATTCGGATATTCTGCGGGTCTCTCGCAATAATGCTGATTACTGCAAGAGAGCAGCAATTTATAAATATGACAGTTTTATCTTATGTACTAAATCATTTTTTTATTTCAATTTATATACACAATTATAAGATTATTTTATTTATAGTTACATTAAGTAATTAATATAATTTCTCTTAAAATCTACTAAAAATTAAATAATAATTAATATAATTTCTCTTAAAGTAATTAATATAATTAATTAATGTAATTTCTCTTAAAATCTACTAAAAATTAAATAATCTTTTTTATTTGATAATATTTAAAGTTATGAAATTCATGTTTTAAATTTCTGCGTATTGTGCTGCAAGTTCTGAAATTGTATTTATAAATATAATACGTACATATTTTCTTATTGCATTAATTCATGATCTCAAAATTTACCGTTCAAACTTACACTTTTATTAATGAATGTTTAATCATATATAGACTTTCATAGATGCCCCGCTGCTGATTATAAGCTTCGCCACGATTTCATCAGAAGAAAGGAGATACGCCGTAACTTGCGTAGAAAAAATTTCCATATGTAATCTTAGTTAGTGTGGGGAGATTGAATAAATGCAAGAATATAACTTGGACTTGCTTTCATCTTGACAGTCTTAATTCAACCTTTAGCCGAATCAGTTCAGGAAATCGTATTTATCTTTCCGTATTTATCTCTCCGTATTTATCTCCCGTATTATATTGAGTGCCATACATTTGATTTTGATCGAGAACATTAATAGAATATCTGAACTATATCTTAATAATTTTTGTATATTTTTATATTGACGACTGAAAATCAGAGGACGTGGAAATAATATCGGATATTAAATAGTTATTAATTAAATAGTTATTTATTAATTGCTGACAAAATTACCGCGATAAATTTGTCATTTCAATATTTATATCTTGAGTGTTATTTTTTTATCACATTACTAAATATTTGTTGGAAGGAAAACATATAAAGCGTACGTAATATTGTCATCTGTCATTATTCTTACAAAAGTACATTTTTATTTTATTTTATTTATTTTATTTTATTTTTATTTTATTTTATTTATTTTTACATATGTGTATTTTGATTTATTTATTCAATTATATATTTACTCAATTATACCTTGTTTCTTGAGTATTAATCGATCGAGAAAATTTGCAATATAAATAATATAATTTCCTTAGGCTGAAAGGCATAATGCCAAGTAGTAAGACGAGAATCGCTATTGTCGGTGGTGGAGTGGCTGGTTTGGTGACGGCCCGTCATATAATGTCCAGATTAGATACTTACAGTCTAATGTTGTTCGAGCAAACCGATCGTATCGGTGGTACATGGGTTTACACTGATGAAACGCATCTCGATAAACATGGACTATTGATTCACAGCAGCATGTATAAGAATCTCAGGTTCGTATAGATACATATATTAATCGAATAAATAGATGAAAGTCTTAAATATCCTGAGCATCAAACATCAATCTTTTAATTATGAAAAATTAATTAAAGCTTTTTTAAGAAAATTGAATTTAAAATTTTAAATAAACATTTTTAACATTAGATATAATTTTTTTAACGTGTTTAATTAGAATTTAAATTTAATATAGTCATATATAGATAATATAAATTTATATTTTTGATATATAATATAGACTTTTCATTTTAAACAAATTAGCAGATTATACTTAAAGTTATACTCTTTAATATTCGAGCGATTCAGTTAGAATATTAAAAATTAATATAATATATAATTGAAAGAGCATGTGTCAATTATACATAATTATTATGAAAAAATTAGTAGAATCATATCAGTGGCACGCGTAAGGAAATGGAACTTTCGTGAAATTTCATGTCTTGTTTAGTGCTAGAATTGCATCATTAAATCATTTTAGCTTGCATAGACTACTTTTAACAAATAGAATAATGTTCATATATTTTCATATATTTGAATTTTCATATATGTAGATAATTGTAGCGATATATAATCGATTTTCATCAAGTTTCTTTCAGGCTCAACATTATTTATATTTATATCGTATGCTTATGTTAGTATATATTTCGATAGATAAAAATAAGAGAGAGAGAGAGAGAGAGAAAGGAAGGAGGAGGGGGGGAGAGAGAGAGATTACATGACATCGGATTCTATTTAATTTCCCTTTCTTTGATATTTGATTAAGACAATAAAAAGTTTCCAAAATAAACATATAAACAACGTATATAAGATTCCCACATATACGTCACCTAATATATAAATGCGATAAACTCTGTCGACGCGCGACTTTGCGACACATTAATCAGATAATCGTTTTTTGACGGCCAGTTCCGGAAAGAGGCGCACGCGCCAATAATGATAAATTGAGTATTGAAATGATACTATAATAATATCTTGTCTGTGATGCAGATCAGAAGCCAGATCGAAAGATAATACAGAAAACTTGAGAATTTACACAGAGATATAAGAATGTTTACATGAAATCTATTAATAAAAATAAACAATACATTTTTTGATTAATAATTCTTTGCATGTCTAATGTTTTACATAATATTTTCTTATATATTTTATCTTCTTTGCTGATACAGTCGAAAATTGAACATATTACATTGCCAATCTATGCTATAAATCTTGAGCTTCTTTAATTGACTTTATTCAGCACTAAGAAATTTAGTTTATTAGATTTAAAAAAATCTAAATGGCAAAATAAAAAGAAATTTATTTTATTAGATTAAAAAAAGCCTTCTAGATGGCAAAATAAAAGCAAGAAAAATATTTTTTAAAAATAAGTATATATTTAACATTTCTGTTTTATCTTTTTATCTTTTTTATAAATGAAGTATAATTATTGTAATTGAACAAAACACGCGCAAAGAAATATAATCTTATTTATTTTTTATTCCATCTCTCTCAAAGTATAAAAGTAAAGTTTAAAATAGCTTAAAATTTATTTCGAGTTAAATATATACACATATACAACTTGCAACTTTATTTATCGCGTCTCGGGTCGTCGTATCTTTTGAACCTCATATTAATAAAAATTGCGCGCGTGATCACCTCAATATGAGAGTTATCATCAAGACAGAAAAATGTTCTGATTCTCTTACAGAACAAATATACCGAAGGAGGTAATGCAGATACCTGATTTCCCCTATCAAAATCAAGAAGGACCGTCTTTTGTTCATCATAGCGTAATAAGGGAATATCTTTTGGACTATGCAAAACACTTCAATCTCTATCCTTATATTAAAGTGAGTTCTTATTATTATAATTATACAGCGAGTTCTTATTATTATACAGATTACACTGGTCAACAACAAAAATAATTTCAACTTTTTCCTCTTATAATTTTGCAGTTTTGGACTTATTTAAGTGTGCTGATTTCGAGTACGACAGTAGTTTTTTTTAACAGCTCTTGTTTTTTAATATTTTTAGACTACCCCCCCTTTAGACATCACGTGCAGTTTTTTTTAGTTTTACTCGACTCAAAATTATTATTTTTTTAACTTTCGATATGTCCTCGACTCGGAGACGTTGTTTACATAATCCAGATAGTTTTTGTTATATTTGTGGCGAATACATCTTTCAAAAATATCGAAAACCTATTTCAGAATTTGTTAATTGTAAAACCTTATAAATAAAAAAAGTAGAGCTGATACAACTAAACTAATATTTTTTTCATAATCAATACCTTAGATATAACCTGTGTTTGCTGATATCTAGATAAAATTATCTAGATAATCACCTAGATAAAGAAATGGATCATCTTTATTTTTAACTAGATGAAGAAATACAAAGTATCTTTATCTTAGATGAAAAATATATGTCATCTTATCTAAAAATTGTCTAAGATGACGTTTTCATTATGCAAAAAAGTTTTCCAGGCAAGCTTCTAAAAATCTATCTAAAATATCTAAAATATATTTTTTATGTTATCATTATTAATATATTATAAATATATTATTATTATATAATTAATATATTATAAATATATTATAAACATAAATTAATAAATAAATATTTATCATATCATTTATATACCTTTTTACTATTATTTAAATATTCTTTAGGAAAGAAGAAAGAATATGTGTTTATGATTTATAATATCCCATTTATAATCTGCGTCACATTTTTTACAAATATTTATAGTCTTCTAAAATAAACAAAAATATCTAGATAATTATCTAGATTATCGCAATAATTATCTCATCTTTTATCTAGATTAAGTAAAAGCAAAATCATCTTTATCTCATCTAAGATAAATTTACGGATTTTTATCTTTATCTAGATAATTTTGAAATTATCTACAGCAAACACTGCCTATAATACATGTTAAATGTGAGAAAAAAATTTGCGTGTTGATCAGTGTTATGTATATGTGTGTATGTAAACACACAAATGAATAAATTCTCTACTACTTCCCAGACAGCACAAAAAGGCCAAAAGATGTCTTAAAGATGTCTAAAGGACTTTAAGACATCTTTAAGTCGTCTTTTAGATGTCTTTTGGACATGTGTGCTGTCTTGTTTGTTCTATTTAAATATATGATATGAAATATATGATATGAAAGCAAAAAGAAGTCTAAGAAAAATATTTCGCACTACGATTTGTTGTTCTTGATTTTAAATTCTGCTCATTTTTTTCTTTCTAGTTCAATACTCTGGTAAAGCACGTGGAGCCGGAGATTCTGAAAAACGGCCAGACCTTGTGGATCGTAACGTACGAGGATTTAGAATCCAAAGTAGAGACCACGAAAATTTTTGACGCCGTGGTATTGTGCAACGGTCATTACACTGTCGGTCATATTCCACATATTCCAGGTATCGAAAGCTTCCACGGTAGATGCATTCACAGTCATCAATACAGGATACCGGAGGTATACGCTGGCAAAAGGATTTGCATACTCGGCGCATCCTGGTCCGGTATTGATATCGCAATAGAAATCTCGCAATACGCTGACAAAGTACGTATGTTACCTATCATTAATTATCTTCGCCAGATGTAAAATATTGTTTATTCTTAATATTTGGACTTAAAATTGGATAATCAAAATTTACATATAAAGTTATGAAAACTTGTAAAGTCTTATTGTGTAGACAGCAATGGCATACGTATATAGAATAATACGATGATCTAACGTAATCTTTCTTTTGTTAATCTAGGTGTATTTAAGTCATAATTTGACGGAGCGTATCGATTCGAAGATGTCGAGCAACGTTGAGCAAAGACCCAGCATCGAGTCCATCCAAGGAAACGTCTTCATCTTCCGTGATGGTTCCTCAGCGGAAGTGGACAGTTTCATATATTGCACTGGTATTGATTTCACACATATATTTGGAATATTTAATAAAATTTGACTTTCATTATACAGGGTGTCCCAAAAGTCTCGGACTGGTCGAATATTTCATAAACTATGCACTTTAGAAAGAAATGTTTCAGACAAAAGTTGTATGGCTTGAAGGGAGCCATCAGATAGTGGCAATGATTTGACATGGGAGAGTTATTTGAAAGTGACGTGAAGATCACCGTCATAGTTATTTTTAAGAAAAAAATATGTAATTTGCAATTAACAATTACATATTTTTTTTTAAAAACAACTATGTGTTTTCTTTACACCAATTGATTCCTCTCATTATTTCGTACATAAAATTATTAAGGTAAGATAATCGAAAAATGAATATTTTACTAGATATTTTATGGTTTATGCAAAATTAAGAAATGATTTCAAGCCTCATAATTCGGAAAGTACTTAATAAAAACTAACTTAATTATAGTGTTTTGGAAAGCTCTCGACGTGAGCTACCAGAATATTTAATAAAAAATAGGGAGTTCCATTTAAGAAATTGATGGTGATCTTAACGTGACTTTCAAATGACTCTCCCATGTCAAATCATTACCATTATCTGATGGCCCCCTTCAAGCCATACAACTTTTGTCTGAAACATTTCTTTCTAAAGTGCATAGTTTATGAAATATTCGACCGATCCAGGACTTTTGGGACACCCTGTATATTCATGATAATAAATTTACACCCTGTATATTCATGATAATAAATTTTATTAGGTTACAAATTCACGTATCCCTTTATGTCAACTAAAGTTGAGATACGTACAGATAATAATCATGTTGAACCCATTTACAAGCATCTGATGCATATGGATTACACGAATCTGTTCTTCATGGGTTTACCGGCGATCGTGATACCATTCCCGATGTTTCACATTCAAGCACAATATATTCTTGGAATTCTCGAAGGCCGCATCCAACTATTATCACCACAAAGAATGCGTGAAGAATACGAGATCGAGAAGAAGTCTCTATTGGATCAAGGCATTCAGGTAAGACTAATTTCTCAAGTGTCTGAATGATAGAAAGAAATTTGCAATTTAAAAGATTACGGTAGAGAATAACAATAGAAGATGTTCTTTCTTAAATAAGAGAAACAATATAATATATACATGTAATATATCAGTGTATAAATTTATCTTGGGAAAAAAAACATTACAATAATTGCTTTTTTCAGTTGAGACATATCAATAAACTCAAAGATAGACAATGGGCCTACTATGACGAGATTGCGGCCGCTGCCAATGTACCGAGTTTACCACCGGTGATGAAAAAGATCTTCGATCATGTTAGCGACATGCGTGACATAAACTTCACTACTTACAAAAATTATCAATATCGCATCATCGACAATGAGAATTTCAGCGTGTCTTATTGTAAACCTTGTTAGGGTTCACGTAAAAGAAGGAAAACTTAAAAGTGAATGTAATCTTATCGCACGGTCGCACGGGGCTCCAAGTCGGGTCAACAAATTGTTTGTGTCTCTTTCACCAGTTGCAGCACCATTTCGCCACTTGGTGGTTCGAAAACAAATATCGTTCCAATCGGAACAATATGCGAATCGGAAAAAAATATCGGACCCATTTATTGCTTAATAATAATGATGTTTATCACTGATGATATGCTTCAACGCAAGACCGATTTGCAATGTAACTTATTATATGCTAAACAATTGCTACTAAGAAGATAATTAAAACAGAGAAATACACATCACTATTCTTACAATACATGATGAAAATGTGACATATGTATTTTATACAATAATTATTTGTCAAAAATCTTTCCATATTTGCAATAAAAGAGCAAGAATTCTATTTTTTATATCTTACCTATATATTACCTTTATATTACCTATATATTACCTTTATATTGCTACTAGCTAAATTATGTGATAAAATCGATCGTTTTTCTTATCTTTATTTTTAATCAATTCAATTAACTTTTTTTTACACTATGTACAAAAAATTGAAACATTTTGCGATTAATTTAAATATAATATTTAATAATAATATTTAATAAATCAAAGAATTAGGCTCTATATGTATTAAACAACACGAAGAAATTAGCAAATAATGTCGGTGTGGAGCTGAATAGCTGAATGGTAAGAGCAGTCGCCCGACAAGCGAAAGACTCGGATTCGATTCCTGATTCAGCGACTTCGTTTCGATATTTTTCTCGTCTATGTCTCTTCAGGGGGGTAAAGAGGGGTTTATAAAATTCTCAAAAATGAGAATCTATATTTTGGTAAATGCATCAAGTAAAATATATGTATGTGCCTTATGCACGTTTAAATTTTCGCGAATAATTTAAGAAAAAATTTTACGCACTACCATCTGCGATGCCATCTTATTTGCTAGTTTCTTATCGTGTTATTTAATAATATTTAAATTAATCAAAAAATGTTTCAATTTTGTACATAGTGCAATATACACACACACACACACACACACACACACACACACACACGCATACACACACAGGGTGTACAAAAATATGGAACCTCCTGTAGTAACTCGAGTACTTATAACGAAAAATATTTAATGAAAAACTTAATTATAATATTTTGGAAAGCTCTCGAGCTAAACTACAAGAATATGTAATAAGGGTTTCCATTTAAAAAATTCAAGGTGACCTTTATGTAACCTTTGTAACGCCTGTGATCATACTGATAAAATTAGTAAATAGATATTTTAGAGTTCTACAACTTTTATCTGAAATTTTTCTAAAATGAAATCTCTCCAAGTTATTCCATACGTTTTGGACATCCTGTATATGATATATATATATATATATATATATATATATATATATATATACATATACAGGGTGTATATATACAGGGTGCCTCACCTAGAAGTGGCCACCCCCTTTTATCTTTTAAACTAAAAGAGATAGACCATAATAAATATATATGAAATTAAATGGCTTTAACTGAACTTTATTGTGAGTATACTGGTTGATTACAAAATTTATCTGTATTAAAGAACGGAGAGATATGTATAATTTTTTTATAATAATGTAGATATTTTGATATAATAAAATTGTAGCTGTTTGAAACAAATATAACGATGTATGATTTAATGTAAATATTTTACATATTATATGAGATTTTCCGGCTTGAAATATCGCGGGCGACGTCCACCATTTCATTTTCGGCTACGATATAGTCAACTTCTGACTGAGTATCATGATTAAATAACATGACATATGTCCACCTCTAATGCACGAGTCAGAAGTTGGCTATATCGCAGGGCCGAAAATGAAATGGTGGACGTCGCCCGCGATATTTCAAGCCGGAAAATCTCGTATAATATGTAAAATATTTACATTAAATCATACATCGTTATATTCGTTTCAAACAGCGCTACAATTTTTATTATATCAAAATATCTACATTATTATAAAAAAATTATACATATCTCTCCGTTCTTTAATACAGATAAATTTTGTAATCAACCACTATACTCACAATAAAGTTCAGTTAAAGCCATTTAATTTCATATATATTTATTATGGTCTATCTCTTTTAGTTTAAAAGATAAAAGAGGGTGGCCACTTGTAGGTGGGGCACCCTGTATATATAAACCCTGTATATGTATATATATATATATATATATATATATATATATATATTTTTTTTTTTTTTTTTTTTTTCTAGTATTACATAGTAAAAGAAATCTAGTATTATATATAATAGAAGAAATTAAATGGTGTACTCACAGCGCATACTTTGTTATAATTTTAAAAACTGAAAAAAGTTCTTGTTTTTATCTCTTACTTAGACATAAATAAATTTGATATGCGTGCAGATTTTTAATTTAACTTTTTAGAAATCAGATTAAATATGAGAGAAAAATTTGGTAAAATTGGTAAAATGGAAGAATGCTAAATAAATACACTCATAAATATATTTTGGAAGTACATTGTTCTTTGAGATTATAATTATATTTTAATTGTACTCTTTTTTTTTTCTCTTGTCTACAGAATATAAAAATGAAAAAAAATTCTTATTCTCTTGTTCTTGTTTGATAATGAATGATAGATATGATGTTACGCATATATACGTATCATTAGTCTAATTATTTGATGGGAAATACTATGATGTGACTTACATTGCAGAAGTTTAATAATAGGATTATAATTCGTCGTGCGGTTTTTGAAGATGATTTATCACGAAATCATACAGATCGTCAAGATTACGCGAACCATTATACTCAAAGACTTTACGTCCATCTCTATACAAGTACAATGCTGGAAAGCCTTCCACTTCTTGTTCATTGCACAACTGTTTGCTTGCATCGAGTGTGCAATCGACTTTAGCGATATTCACATTGTTATTAGCAAAAAATTTCTTACCCAATTCCTCCCATGTGGGCGCCAAGCGTTTGCAATGTCCGCACCAAGGTGCAAAGAACTTTACAAAGGAAAAACCTTTTTCAATACCATGCTGGAAACTGTCGGCTGTCAAACTTAGTATAGCATGCGGGACATTATTGTTTTCGCTCTTTTGATTCGATTCATCAGCACTCTTACTTAGCATCATCGACACATAGGCCTTTAGCTCTTCGTGAGTGCGTTCACCAGTGTATTTATCTATCTGGAAATTTATATATTCTAATTTCTAATTTATAATTCTTTTTCTCTAATAAAGATATGGATAGCATTAGATTTTTATCTCACAAACCACTTTCTTACAATTTTTTGAAATTTTGACTTAATTCTTTTTCTCTAATAATTTTAGTTTCTAATTTATAATTCTTTTTCTCTAATAAAGAAATGGATAAATTAGGCAAGAAACCACAAACTTTTCTTGCCTAATTTATCCATTTCTTTATTAGATTTTTATCTCATAAACCACTTTTTTACAATTTTTTGAAATTTTAACTTAATTCTTTTTCTTTTTCAGAAAAAAAGGATAATTTAATTAACAATACCTTTTTCCCGTCTTCAATCCACAACAATGTGGGATATCCTTTAATGTCAAATTGGCCACAAACACTACGATGTTGGGTGCAGTCTATTTTAGAGATACTAACTGCATCATCGTTACGGAGACTGTCAGCTAATTTATCCCATGTTGGTGCTAATTTTTGACAATGTCCACACCAAGGTGCATAAAATTTGACAAAATGATATCCGGAAGAAACATGTTTTTCAAATGTATTTTTTGTTAATTCTAGCAATCCATTCACTGCTTCTGGAGGAGATGGTGCAACATCTTCATTCTAAAAAAGAATTGCTATGATATTAGCCCTTAAAGGGTACTCTGGGTGTCGAACACCCAGCGTCCACTTTACACTCTAATAAACCGTACTAAATTCGAAAAAATCGAACATACGGCGTAAAATAAAAAACTAAAAAAGTTATGAATTTTTGAGTGAAAAAAGTCATTTATTCTATTTTTTTCCAAACAGGATTTTTTTTTTAACTAATTCAAATTCCATGAATAGCTATGAAACCTTTTTGACATTAAAGTAGAGACATTAAAGAGACATTAAACTTTATTCAGTAATTTTTTTGTAAAAAAAATATCCAATACCGCCTGTACAGCAAACATGTGAACATCCGTGGCTGTCAGACACCCAGTGTGCAATTTATGTAATTTTATGGAAGTGTGCTCTTTAAGGGTTAGTAAATTGATATAAAAAGTAACATAAGATTCAAAATAAGTCATGTATAAAAGCACATACCATAGAGGAACTGCCTAATTGTTCATCAATAAAGGCAGTCAAAGAAGGTAAATTTCGAGTTCCTCTAAATTTGATGCTTCCGGTTTCCCCAGTTTTATAAAACTTTAGCCTGCATTTAAAAATTCTCAATGTAGTATAATATAATAATTGTAATATAATTTCAAAATTATTTAATAATTTATTATATATAGTATATAGTATATAATATATAGGAATATTACCCATTGAAATGTTAAAATTATAATAGTACAATATATATAAAAAGTTAAAATTCATTTATTTAAATAGAACCTTTTTTAATGGAAATTTCATTAATACGATTGTTAAAATAAATTGTTAAAATAAGATAAATTACGTGGGATAGCCAGTAACATCCTGTTCACTACACAGAGTGATCTCAGTTGTACAATCAACTTTGGCTATTCTTATATTACTATTCTCTTTATTTAACATTTCCGCTAATTGCTCCCATGTAGAACTAAGTTTTTGGCAATGTCCACACCTTTTAAAGGAAAGAATTTCTTATTCATCATAATTAATATAGTAATGGTAGAAATCATTTCTTCTTTTATCTTTTAATTTATATTATATATATAAATATATAAATAAATAAATAAATAAATATAATAAATATATAAATAAATAAATATATAAATAAATAAATAAATATATAAATATATATTATATGAATAAATGATATATGTATATGTAATGTATATTCATATATTTACCATGGTGCGTAAAACATAACAAAGTGATTCTTCGTTTTAATCTTCGTAGAGAAATTCTCGCTAGTATACTGTAAAGTAAACACGTCCTCATCGTGACCGTTGCTAACTTGGCTCAACATAAATAGAAAGAACAAGAGCTGTCGTTTCGACGCGATAAAATCTGTAGAGTTAATCGCCATCACGAGCCTCAATTTTATTTACACAATATTCGATCCTTTCACAAGCAAAATCTCCCCACGAGAAATGCAAAGGATCATTGAATCTTTCACCGACACATTCGGAACAAGTTTTAATCCCGAGGTTTTGCTTTTAATCCCGGCTTCTTATCGTGCTGAATGAAATACTGTAAAAAGGATGCCTATACAATATAATGTTATATCGGAAACAAATGATATTTCAGTGTGTTGTATATTTTTAAAAATTATAGAATTTTTCCGCGCAACCGCCGGCTTATTGTTCGCCGAAGCTCGCGCGAACCGATCGAATCGCCGATTCCGCCCAATAATTCCGCCCATCATATAATATAATCCAATGAGAGCAACTATGAAACTGGAATTACCCTAATTCAGAATTGATCTCACGTAATGTCACTAATAGATCCTAAAATCACTAGATATACAAAGGTCGGAATTAGGCTGATGGCAGAGAACTAGATGTCTGTCGTAGTCGTGGACGTAAAGTAAGACAGAGTAAAACGTATGTCGTACAAGGCCATTGGGTGCTTTCCAGCAAGCAACACAGGCGACACTGTGTCGCTACAGTGTCGATACAGGTGCTTTCCAACTACGATACAAGTCGACACAATCGTACACAGCAAAAATGCTGTGTTCGCCTGTGTCGTCGTTTTGTAGCACCCCAGTGAGTGCCAACATAACATTTCATATTTGGTATCATTAATTTTTTAAAGAATGGTATTGCGTGATATTGCGTGATAGAAGATAACCAAACTTTTATATTCGCTAAAAAGACGACTTAAAGACATCTAGACGTCTTTAAGATGACATAATGTTGTGTGGGAACGTTCTGAAAATTTAGACCTAGTGACAACTATTAAAAGTGACTGCCCTGCACTCTAGTGACAAAATAAGAAAGCTAAAAAGCGTTCCAGCTACAAGTCGACACTGTGTAACACTGTGTCACACAGTGTATCACTGTGTTACCATAGCTGGAAAGCACCCATTGTCACAATGGCCTTGTACGACATACGTTTTTCTCTGTCTTACTTTACGTCCACGACTACGACAGACATCTAGTTCTCTGCCATCAGCCTTACTTTATGTCCACGACTACGACAGATATCTAGTTCTCTGCCATCAGCCTTATAGGGTGTTTACGACAAATATAGTGCGTTCGAAAATATGTTTGGTTCCAGTGCGTTCGAAAATATGTTTGGTCGGTGATAGAAAAAAAAATAAAGTTGGCAGTATTGAAAACTCCCAGTGCTGCGTTTTGTTTCTCCCACTGGGATCATTAGGATTGTATTGTACCGTATGTATGTACACTCCGCGACAACGATTCGTTCCGCGGTCCCTCTCGCGGGGCAAGGGGAGCGTAGCCTCTAACCAATCAGCCACTGCCACGCTGCCGGCTGATTGGTCACTTCTACGCTCCCCTTGCCCCGCGAGAGAATGGCCCCGGAACGAATCGTTGTCGCGCAGTGTACATATATGAAAGTGTTGCAATTACATTAATTATTATTATGGAACAATATATTTTACTCGAAAACATCATTTTTGAATCTTCGAGTAGTTCTTCTTCAGATAGTGATGATGATAATGAAGAATTAAGGCACTAAATATATGAGTATTCTATACTCCGCCATTTTTAATCCATCTCCCCACCCCATATAATCTCACTAACCTATCTACTATAATCTCAGCTTAGCGACGAGGCGAGTGACACGAGAAACAAGGAGGGGGAATGGATTAAAAATGGCGGAGTATAGAATACCTGTATATTTAGTGCTCTAGAAGAATTACAAAATATTTTATTCGAAAATAGAGATAATAACAATAGAGGTGAAAGGAAAATAGTACCAAAAATAACAGATTATTTGGAAAATGTTATTACCAGATATACAAATATTGAATTTAAATCACATTTTAGGTAAATCATGTCACTTTATTATAATTATAGCATTATTAATATAAAACACACGTTCGTATTAATAATAATACATGTGATGTTATTAACATAAATTTTACATGTGATGTTATAACATAAATGTTATTAACATAAATTTTTAGCTTGTATCCAGTTTTGCGTATTTATTATTTATATTACTAATCCATTGATTTCGACGTTGTACATCTCTGGTAATCTGGTAATATTTTTATACTATGGCCGGTATTCATAGGCCGGTATTCATAGTCCGATTTTATATTTAAGATTGTCTTAAGTCTGGTCCGAGGTTGATTTAAGACCTCATTCAACCAATCAAATGACTGCGTAGCATTTCAAGCTCGAACTTAAGACGATCTCAAATATAAGATCGGACTATGGCCGGTATTCATAGTCCAATCTTATATTTGAGATCGTCTTAAGTTCGAGCTTGAAATGCTACGCAGCTATTTGATTGGTTGAATGAGGTCTTAAGTCAACCTCCAAGCAGACTTAAGACGATCTTAAATATAAGATCGGACTATGAATACCGGCCTATGAATACCGGCCATAGTATAAAAATATTACCAGATTACCAGAGATGTACAACGTTGAAATCAATGGATTAGTAATATAAATAATAAATACGCAAAACTGGATACAAGCTAAAAATTTATGTTTAACAATGTGCAATAAATAATATGCAACAATATAATTTTTTATATACATCTATTTATTTCCTATTTTAATTTTTTTATTTAAACACTTTATTTACTCAATACAAAATTTAGATAAGTTTGAAAACGTGGCGGCAACGGATGAAAAATGGCAGACCAATCAGAAGTGGCACCCAGTTGTCGCCACTCTGATGAGTACTATATATATGCTCAAAATACGATATCCGTGCTTTTATACTCGTCTATTTTCTTTGTTGTGGACTCAATGGCTGGGCAATATTACTAGATTTTATAACATAAACAATAAATGATAAACAATGAAATTACATTGTAAAATCGAGATTTACGATAGGACATTATCATTGCATAGAAAATCACAACGTTCTATATTAGCATATGTTAAAGATTCTGTTAACGATGATTTATGCTTTTATTTATGGACACGACAGAACAAGCAAGGAACCAAGTATAAAGTAACGTATGACGTTTCTTTTTGTTTCATTATAAATGGTTTATTAAATTTTTCTTAAAACTGTGTTAGATTAATTAATTACAATATTTTGTAATTATTTTCATAATTCAGAATTCTGCAGTTCTCTTTATTCTTAAAGAAATATATAACAAAATATTTCTTATATTTTCAGATTACTAACAACATAAGAAAAATATTCAAGAAATTTATTACCAATGGCAAAGCTACAATAAGCTTGATAGAACCTTGTCATGATCTAATCATTCAGAGTGATGCTATTCAGTTGAAAAGTTTTCTTAATATAATGAAACATATAATAGATGGACTTTGTAAAAGTTTAGATAAATATATTTCTAAATCTAATATAACTTTTAAATCAAGTGAATTCTATTCATTGCAAAAAGTTGTAGTAAAGAAAAAATCTGAATATCCAATTTTACAAGGATTCCCACGAACAACAGAACAACTTGTGTTGAGTGGATTGGATAGAAAATCCTTTGATCGACAAATTTTGACATTACGGAATTTAAAATTTTTAGATTTATCAAACAATAAAATTTCTTTCTTACCAAAAGAGTTGGGCACTTTGCCTTATCTTCAAACTCTTGATCTGTCACATAATAATCTTGGAAAATCAATTCGATCTAAATGGACATGGTTAGAACAAACTGCACTTAGGAGAAATTTATATTTCCTAGATATTAGTAATAATTTAGTAAGTTATTTTATTAGATATTTTAGTGTTATAGTATGAAGATTAATTGATAAAACCAATTTTATTTATGAAAATGATTTTAATTTCGTAATATTAATAATTTATTATTTTATATTATAGTTAACTGACTTACCAGTACAAATTGGAAGATTAAAAGGTTTAAAAGAATTGAAAATTCGTCATAACATGTTAACACAATTACCACAAAATATTGGAACTATGAATAACTTAAAATTATTGGATGTGGCAAAAAACAATTTATTGTTCTTGCCAGGAACAATTCAACATTTGCGATTGTATTTTTTAGATATTTCAGAAAATTTATTTTCAAAAATTAATTATAATATTGCATTTAATGAAAGAAATTTAGACAAAGGACTGCCAAGTCTCGTTGAATTTTCAGCTAGAACTCTTCTAAAATCCAGGTTTCTATTGTTTCTACTTTTTTTAAATTGTATATGTATATAATTTGACACTCAAAATATATAATACATAATAACAAGTTTTATATTTTTTCAGGATAACATATGATGCAAGTTTAATACCATATACATTAGTCCAATATTTAGATGAAGCAAAATATTGCTTCTCGTGCAAAAGTGCCTGTTTTGATCATTATTCAAGGATTTTAACGCATTTTTTTCCACTTACATTTAGTGTTAATATGAAAAATACATTAAATCAACATTTCAATTATGAATATTACTTTTGTTCTACAACATGTCATAATTTAATGTCATTTTCTAATCGTAATATTAATACATAATAAAATAATTTCTAATATATAATATAAAATAATTTCTAATATATTTCTAATATATAATTTTACAATTTTATAAAGTTGTATTTATTGTCGATTTCTAATTTCATATTTGTTTATGTGTATAATCAAATTTATATTCAAATACAATATGTTTGATACTTACATAAAATTGATATTTACATAAAAGGGTATGATTAATATTAATAGAAATATTTATATAGTTCATCTATAAACTTATCTATTTTATTACATATCTTCTGTATAAACTAACTTTATTTTATACATTAATATTAGCATAATACAAATTTTATATTTTTTGGTCAAAATATAAAATTAGTCTAATATATATCAAATAATTATCTTTTATTATATTAATATTTTATTAATTATCTTTTGAGAGAAGATCATTAAAAATATGAAACAAATATTTAAAGAACTTATTAGTAATAACAAAGTTATTATGCGATTCATAGAACTTTGTCAATCTAATGTCAATATCAATAAATGTGTTCATTTATCACATTCTTTTCTTTCAGTAATAATTTATAATTTATATAATCGTCAAAAAAAATTAAGATCTCAAAAAATAATTTTATATTTGCAATAAAATTATATAATACGTATAATGTTTCATATAAAAATTTTTTTGGTTGTAAAATATTCATTTTGTATATTCATAGTTTTTAATAATTACTATATTTTAATTAATTTGATCATCAATGTATTATCTCAAAATCATAAGACTATTTATGGAACATCAAAATTTATTTTTAAGAAAATCTCATTCATATAATTATAAATAAACTTTCATTGGAGCGTATTGCACATAGTGTCAAAATTTTTCATCGGAATATCTTTTTAAGATATTTAAAGATAAACCTTTTTAAAAAATAAATCCTTTTAAAAATTAAAAGTAAAATTTAAATGAAATTTTATTTCATTTATACACATTAATTAAAATAACATAAAATTAAAAAATACAATATTTTATCTCATATTTAATTTAATTCGATTCATTATATTTGCTATTAAATATGCCGAAATTTATAAAATCTAGAAATTAAAGTTATTTTTATTGCTCAAATTATATGTATATGTATATGTATATATATATATATATATATATATATATATATATATATATATATATATATGTACATATACACATGCACACATAAACACATACACACAAGTATTAACATTTACATAAAAGTTAAATATAAAATAGTAACAGCATCTTTTTTTATATTATTGATCTATTTTATTATGCAATTATTTGCAATTAACACTATTTTTTATGTGATTTATTTTCAAAAAATGCAGCAATCATGTTAAGTATATATAGTAACATTTCACCATGTACAGCAATAATTCACGAGAGTTACAAGATTATGGCATACCTTCTTTTGGAAATAAGATATAAACTTTTTTTCAGACATAATATTAAGACTAACATTTATTGTTACAAAAAATGAAGTTATAATGACATTAGGTTCTTTTATTAAGTCTCATGTTTACAATCTTTAAAAGGCATCAATTATACCATTATATTAAGTCATTAAAGTAATGAAACATATGTAACATGTGTATAATACAATTTGCAGCTTATAAAACAATTTATTGTGTGGAATATCCTGCTGCTTTAAATCCAATATGACGTATTCTTTAAAAGGATTTTGATAATATAATAATATTATACAATATTTATTATTATTATTTCTATTATTATATTATTATTACTATTATTATATTATCAAAATAATATTATATTCTCAAACTACTTTTATTTTTATTGACCTATATTATTTAAATGTGATAAATATATTAAAACTATTCATGACACAGTTTCACAATCTCGCATGCTAGTAATATGAGATTATAAATGTACATATCCTAGTTTATTATCAGTCCAAATCACACATTAAATCATTGGATGAAAGGAAGATGACTATTGTCATTATTTTATATATGTTTAAGTTTTATAATAAACACAATATATTATGTATTCTTTTCCTTTTTAACAAAATTAAAATCATCATCAGTAGTTGCCTCAAGAAAATGTTCTTGCGGTGTTATTTTTTTCTTCTTACCAATTCGGGATATGTTAAAATCTACATCTTTGTGCTTTTTTTCATCTATTCCCATTTGTAAAGGGTGAACAAAAACATCAGGATCCTCATAAAGAGGAACCAATTTCACTTGACCATCATTATTATATTCATTATTGCCCATTATATTTCCATTAACCATTTCATGCTGAAAAATAACATTTTTTTTCATTTATGTTATAATATAATATTATATATTAAAGAAAGGTTTATTTATATATTTACTAAAACTTCCAATTTATCTTCTTTCCCTATAGAAATTTTATTGCATGGATTAATTATATCTTCTAAAGAAATTTGCTTTTTCTTTAGAAGACTCATTATTGCAGCATTTTTAGATAATTTATGTTTTTGTTTAATATATATATCATCTAAGTCTTCAGATTGATTTCCAGAACATACTGTTATATTGTTATGATCAGAAGTCTCCTCAGATATGTTTTTCTCAGAATTAATTATATTCTCTATCTGTCTCATATAATATTTTTCCCAATATTTATTTGAAAGATCACGACCACCATTTACCTGTCCAATATTAACTGTTTATATTATATAACTTTTACATATATGCTTAAAAGATATATATTCGCTTGAAATATATAAAATGCATAATTTCTTTTCAATTATATAATCTTTGGCAACCTAAAAGTTAACTTTTTTATCTTAAAATTTTGATTGGATACTATTATTTTTATTCAAAATATTAAATATCTCTTAGTTAATAATTGTTTTTAAAAGAATATGTTAATTTACCTCTTTAATAGCAGCAGAAATGGCATGTTTATCAAAAGTAGGTTTAACTTTATTGTTTATAAAATTATCATCAACATAGTTTTTATCATCATCAGAGTCCTCCAATAACTAGAATTAATACAAAGAGATATTGCTTTGTATAAAAATATATCAATGTATAGTAAAATTAAATTCTTTTATATCTTATTATATATTAATATATGTACAAACATGTATATTTTTTGGTGTTTTCACTTTTCTATCATTCATCATTCGATCTTTTGCAGCTTGACTTAAACCTGACAGTCGAAAGAATTCAGCATTATCATCTATGTAATCAAGTGATGTTACCTTTTTAATATTCTCACGTATATCCATTTTAATCTAAAATATATAGATTTTAATGTATATATATTACATATATTCTATACATAAACTGTTATTGCTTGCAATGTATTAAAATCTTAATTCGTGCACGAAATTATTTTTTTTCAACACTATTATAATTAAAAAAAGAAGTTGATTTTCATATTTTATGTTTATTTCTGTTGAAAATATTCTTGTAAATATTTATAATTTTGTTAATATTATATAGAAAAGGATTAAATTGTATTTACCTTCTTGGTTTCTTTATATTAAAAATAACTCGACCCGAATTACATTATATCGCTTTCGATTTCCGAATTTTTTTCACTTTATACTTTCAATATTTTTGGATATTTTAATTAAAGAGTCACAATCAAATATAAATTGATACCGCACTCTTATGTCAAAATATTTCTCAAATATGCAGAATCAGCATGTATAAAATACGCTGATGAAATCAGCAAAATCACACACAATCGGAAGTTAATGCTATAAAAGTAACTGTTATTTCTGTTGTCCACGTAGAGCTCTCTTCTCATGTTTATATTTTTTTATCTTTCTATAAAGATACGAATTTTTTTGCACTTACAATGTCATGATACATGCAAACTGTAGACTTCCTATACATCAATTTAGATACATAAATTTAGAAATAAATTATTATTATTTTATATATTTTGTACAAATATATGAAAAAAATAAATATAAATTTATCGCTCATTAAGAAAACAATTTATTAAATAGATGCATAATTTCTCTACTCTAATTAAAAATAGCAATGTTTGTTTTTACAGAATTAGCAAATTTGTCCCAGGGTACAGCATATATATAGTACTCCTATATTGGCAGTTCAGTAGGAGGAATGAGCGAAAACATTACGGTGCAGACGATACATTCTCTCTCGCACAGTTATTAAGGTGCAATTTCATTGACGCTACTTTTTAGCGTCAATGAAATTGCACCTTTAAGCGGCCTTTTCATTGACGCTAAAAAATAGCGTCAACCATTGGTTGAACAAAGAAGTAAGTAGTTGCTTCTTTGTTCAACCAATGGTTGACTTTTTAGCATCAATGAAATTGCACCTTTAGGCTAAAGGATTGCAGGATAATAATTTTTTGAATCTTTAAAAATTTTCTATTTTGCAGCCAATCAGTGTGCTTAAAAAATTTGTCGTACGATAAATGTAATATTAGCCTTAGTCGGATTTAGCACTTTTGCGCATGCGTCAAATATATATATATGCCATATATATATATATTTTTTAACTGGTTGAAATCCTAATTATTTCTGCTTACGGTTATTTCCAACTTTATCATCATTTCCATCGTCTTCTAGGACATAAAGCGTCGTCTACAATGACAGTAGGATTAATGAGTTGAAGTAGAGAACCTCTAGGAGAGAGAATGGACAACTGATCATGTGATATGTGATCAAGCTTTTTCATGATTGGCTGGCAGAAAATGTATCAATTTTAGCTATTGCGACGCCAATGCAAAATATGATGACACACAAATAGGTTAATATATGTGTGTCATGTGTGTCCTATTTGTGTGTCATCATATTTTGCATTGGCGTCGCAATAGCTAAAATTGATACATTTTCTGCCAGCCAATCATGAAAAAGCTTGATCAGTTGTCCATTCTCTCTCCTAGAGGTTCTCTATCTTAAATCTCTCATTCCACTCTCATTCCACCAATCAATGACTGGATTGTGCTATTTGATTGGTTGAATGAGTTCTTAAGATGATCTTGTCACGGATGACTTCCGCGAGATGATCGGATAGTCGCAGTCGGATGCGGGATTCGGTTTTCTGTGTAAGCTAATAATTATAACGGCAGTTTAGTTTAAAAAAAAAAATAACAAAAGAATATTTATTCAGAAGAAAATAAGTACAGAGTTTTGATGTGTGTGTGTGTGTGCGTGTGTAAGTGTACGGTGTGAGTTTTGTATGCGTGTATGAGAATAAATCGAGTGCAGCGTGATTTCGATGGGTGTATAAACTGCGCGCGGATAATCAGCATGAATCGATTAATCGATAGGCACGATATGATCGCTGGCGAAACGCTTAAACGGTGCGAGTAGTTATTAAACCGGATGCAGACGACTGCATCCGGTGTACAATGTGACGGATAATTAGTGCGATAGCTCGGTATCGTTTATAAATCAAGTTTCGGGAATTGGAATGCGTTTAAAGCCCGACATATACAACAACAACGCGTCAGCTGTATTGTTGTTTTGCCTGAGGGCAATGCTCTCGCGAGACACGGCGCGTATCTTGCCTTTTATAACTGCCTATATTCGAGACGCTCGGTTTACGCGAATTCGATTTAGATTGAATATTTTAATATGTTCTTCGCGATGGATGGATGCCGCGGGATTCCGCCATGCGAACGAGAACACTCGTCGGAGGCAGCTCTGCTCTCTACCTCCGGATAAATTTGCAACGGCGGTACGATGGCGGGATGTATTGCCTGGGTCAAGATTGCTCGACGGTGCCGGAGTACTCTCCAGCACGGTTTCCTTAGGCAGAGTAGATTTAGTCTAGGAAGCGCGGCCCTAAGTCCGAAACTGAGAAAAACTCAGCTGAGGCAGAGTACGTTCTACCCTCTATTCGGGGCTTGGCTGGCTTTGCTTCTAAAAATGGATCGTGATCTGGATTACTTGGCTTGTAGCAAGTGGAATCAGGATCTGAGTCTAGATTTACTCGAGGGCCCTTTTTATACCCCGGCTAATTAGTCTCGCGCCGGCGTACACTGTGCGACAACGATTCGTTCCGTGGTCCCTCTCGCGAGGCAAGGGGAGCGTAGCTTCTAACCAATCAGCTATTGTCACGCTGCCAGCTGATTGGTCACTTCTACGCTCCCTTTGCCTCGCGAGAGAGGGGCCACGGAACGAATCGTTGTCGCGCAGTGTACAAAAGGAGTGTACACACAGGTCCCCCACCGAGCGATTAAAAAACGGTAACGGTATGGGACCGCTTGGTGGGGCGCGACGGGTTCCGGCGCGGGATTTCTATCCGGGGTAAATCGGGCGTCCTCGGCTTTCCTCGGTTCGTTTTGGTTTTAACCCGTTCGAAATGCTCGAATTTTTAACGAAGATTTGACGCGGCGTGCTTCTGCTTTTGCTCGGCGGATATTTTTCCGGGCGGCAGCTTCCGGCTGATCTTCGTTCCGGGAATTCGTAACATGCACTGGTGGTGCATCGTTACAATCTTAAATGTAAAGCGTCGTCTACAATAGGTAGAGTAAGCGTGGCGTAAGAAGTAAGAGTAGAAGTAAAAGAGCTATTTCCGGTTTAAGAAAGCTGGAGTAAGGGCGTAAGCAAAATGAATTATTTTTATTTCTTACGCCTACTCTTACTCTTACACTTACACTCAATCAATCAGAACGCAGGAAGAAAACCCAGGAAGGTTAAAACATGAAAACGAAAGATCGCTCGAAAACGTCATTAATTGCAAATGTGTTTTGCTATTGTAATTGCTTTATTAATAATTGTTTAACGTTTGACTGTCGGGATGGCAACGTCACAAACTATAATATTACTCCACTGTATTGTAGATTGAGTCAGCGTAAATAGCTTACGCCGCAAACGTTACTCCTTCTCTTACTTCTTACGCCAAGCTTACTCCACTTATTGTAGACGCTTAAGACCGGACTATGAATACCGACCGATGTGTTAAGTCTCCTTAAAATCTTATTGTAGACGACGCTTGATCGGACTGAGCAGTGGTTCTCAAGGCTTTCGCACATGTATTGCCATAACCATAAACGTAAAACGTAAACGTAAGCTGAAGAACCAATCAGAATATTGCTTTAAGGCCATTCTACAATGGCCGTAGCATAAGGTTGTAAGGCGTAAGATTAAAAAAATTGATCAATCACAATCGAGTATTCTCTTAAGGCCTTTGCATGTACAAAAATTTTAGTCGTAACTATAAGGTCGTAAGAAAATTGACCAATTACAGTTGATTATTACAGTTCTTTTATCGCAAAAAAATACTCGACTATGATTTGTCAGATTCCTTACGATCTTATGGTTACGACTAAAATTTTTGTACGTGCAAAGGCCTTTAATACTTGACTGTGATTGGTCAATTTCTTGAGTCTTAGGGCCTATCCAGACAAACTTGCATAGGTGCATATGCATAACATAAGACCATATGGACCAATGAGTATCGAGTATTAAATCGCTATATTGACTTACATAACATAATACTCGATGCTCATTGGTCTTATGTTATGCATATGCACCTATGCAAGTTTGTCTGGATAGACCCTTAGCCCGGGTCTACAATAGGTAATTTAAGCCCTAAGCCTTAAGAAATTGACCAATCACAGTCAGATATTCTCTTCATACTTGACTGTGATTGGTCAATTTCTTAAGGCTTAGGGCTTAAATTACCTATTGTGGACCCGGGCTTACGCCTTACAACCTTATGCTACGGCCATTGTAGAATGGCCTTAAAGCAATATTCTGATTGGTTCTTCAGCTTACGTTTACGTTTTACGTTTATGGTTATGGCAATTCATGTGCGAAAGCCTTGAGTACCACTGCTCACAAGTAATACTACTCAAATGCCATTCCGATATTCTTGAAACTTTGCACACACGTAGTACATCGAAAAACATTAAACACGTGTTTTTTTATTTTAACTAACAAGGTGTTTTAAGGGTAGAAAACGCAGTCGAAAGTTTAACACCATTTAGTACAATGTTAACGCTACTCATGAGTGTGATTCTCTTACAGCTTTTACGACATTTCTCTTTCATAATTTCATTGTCTGCGTGTTTTTGAGATCGCCAATGACGATTTTAACATTAGTTTAATGAGATTCAGAATGGCAAATACAAAATGGTGGATAAAATCGCAGGAGTTTCAGAAACTTTATTTAACGCCACTTGCGAAGTTTATTAGATACATGATTATGATTTTGACAGTTATATCAATCTAGAAGTGGTGGATGAAAAATTCAATATGACGCATCCAAATGACGGAAACTGAAGGCAATGGGAAAGTCTACCCAGCCAGTGAAGGCAAGATAGTGGTACTACCCGACCAGTGAAGGCAAGATAGTGGTATTACCCGACCAGTGAAGGCAAGATAGTGATATTATCCGACCAGTGAAGGCAAGATAGTGGTACTACCCGACCAGTGAAGGCAAGATAGAGATTTGACTCGGCCACTGAAGACAAGGTGCGGCCTTCTCCATATACTTGAATTTTAATTCCCCATATCTTGCTGAAAAGAAAAGGATGGAATTAAAAATATTGCCTTCATTTCACGTATCTTTTGCAGTAGTGAGGAGAAGCATTATAGTCTGGAGCAAAAGTGTTATATACATAAAGATTCGTTGCACCAAGCACATTTTATGATGGCAATGTTTGTGCAAAACCTACAGTGTGTACCATAATTCTCGAAGCAGTATTCCATAGGTGTTGCACATTTTTCTGGTTTTTCTGAAGTATACCCACTTTTCCATCAAGCGTATTTAAATAAATTTACAAATCTTGATGATGAGAACTGGTTATGAATCAATGACTGAATCTTTAAGATGTTATTTCTCAAATATAAATTGATGTCGTAGTTATATAGTATGATTAAGTCCGAGAAATGTTTAAGAAAGTTCTTCCATGATCTGAATGTATAAATATCTAATGGCTGGATCATACCAGTTGTTCCTGCGGGAATAGTTAAAATTTTGACTCTTTTACCACGCTTATCTATAACATCGAACTTTTCTTCCGTTTGTCCAGTCCAAGAATCTAAACATAGAGCCGATGCTTCATTAATATTAGGCAAAAAAGCATCGACAAACCATTTTACAGCAAGATCTGATGAAAGTTTGCCATTTCGAAGCAAGCACAAGAATATTTTCAGCTTTATAAATATTGTTTCTGACGATCGGATCAAATGTACCTTATGTCTCTTGTAACACTATTAGCAACGGTGATTCTAAGACCCCACTTACAGACTTATTTGTTGTAAATTGTATTCAAAGAGATACACAATGTAGAAAATATTAAACCCGTGCTGTGAAAACGGCCGATGAAAAACTAATTGTTATCAATTGTAGTTCGAAAATACGCAATGAAAAAAGATAATTCTTCGTGAATATAACTTATTATAATCAGAAGCCTGTCGTATTGCTCTCTGATTTTAACCTTTAAAAACCTTTAAAAATTAATGAAACCTTATTCGTTATGAATGGTATTAACAAAAGTTGCAGTAATGATAATGAAATGCGGTAAAAATATAATTCATTTTGACAATATATGTGTAAATTGTGGTATCGTAAGCATGTTAGACGAAACTTAAACATATAAGTTACCATCGGCCGTTCTGATTACTATATGTCAGATTGTATAATTGGAAACATTAAAAAGACCTAATAATCCTGTTTTCATAACCCAGGTAGTAAGCACACATCATTTTGACGTTTCAAATTGGTCATTCACTGACTATTCTTGACGAATTGACGTTTTTATGACGTAAAAGTGACGATCTAATGTTACAGATTCTTGACGTCATGACATGTACCATATTTTGTCTTTTTTTTAGCATAATAATATATTTAATAGTGTTGTCGAATAAAGCATTGTCTAAAAGTGAATCAGTGCATTATCACTAAAAAACAGTAAATGATTAGTCACTAATTACAGCAGTTATAAGTACAGCACTCTAAATCAGTGAAATTTTATTAAAAGAATCAGTTAATAATTTTGACTATTTCAATCAGTAATATCTCAGTAATATTCCTTTCGTTATTGCCACTAATATTAAACTACAATTTATCTCTCTATCTATTTCATAAATATAATATAAATATAATAAATATAAAAATAAATAAATATATATAAATATAAATAAATATGTAACGATGCGCTCGCGCATCATAACTATTATACAATAAATATATTATTTTCTTTACTCGCTTGTCTAATCGCACCTGCTAATTCCCGCTATACACCTGTTATCTCGCTCGCAACCCTGCATGCTCGTACAACACTAGTCCTAGGTTCTGTGTCCATCCCGAATACCCGTCTCGTTTCCATAGATTAAGGGCCGGTTGTTCCATCGTCAGATAAACTATCAGATAATTTATCTAATGGTTAAAATTCTGACTTGCGTTGTTCCACTTTTCGGTAAAATTTACCTCCCTGATAAATGACCAGTTCCAATAGGTAAATTACACGACACTCTCAGTACCGTGTAAACCACTTATCTTATGGATAAATATGTAATGAAGTTAGAAAATTTGACACGCTATGATTTATTTTACGCTGCTGAAAGGAAGATACTTGGTTATTTCAAAATTTAACATTTGTGTATTAATCTGTGCAATAAAAATTTTAAATATTGTACGGAAATGGAATTGTGCGAAAATCAATTTCTGTATGAATGCGATGAAAATAATGCTGAAGAAGCTGATGAAGAAATAATAGTGGTGGTTCGCAAACAATATACAGTTCGTCCGCGTCCAGATTTGTTAAACAAATATGATAATATTGAATTTTTAAGACGATTTCGGTTTCACAAACGTACTGTTCAAATGATATTAACTCTTATTGAACAAAGAATAAGAAGCAAGACTGACAGGTAAATATGAAACGTATATTTACATAAATACTAAATAAACGAAAAGATTCATATTAATTTATATGATATTATATTAATAAATATAAATATATTTATTTCAGAAATCATGCTGTTTCGCCATTGCAACAACTATTACTTACATTAAGATTTTATGCAACTGGAACCTATCTAGTTGCAATTGGTGATTTGGGTGGAATTCATAAATCCACCATGTGCAGAATAATAAAAAAGGTTACAGAAGCAATAGCATCTTTACGTCTACAATATATTTATTGTCCTAATTCCAATCAGAGTCTAAGGCACACAAAAGAAGGCTTTTATAACATTGCTCGTTTTCCTAGAGTCATAGGAGCCATTGATTGTACGCATGTTAAAATTCAATCGCCAGGTATGTATTATGTATTGAAATTAAAAATAAATAATAAATTCTACAATATTTTCATTGCTTTTGTTTAAAGGTGGAGAAGAGGCTGAAGTATTCAGAAATAGAAAAGGAATATTTAGTATAAATGTGCAGGCTGTTTGTGACAGTGCTTTAAAATTTTTAGACATTGTAGCACGGTGGCCTGGATCAACACATGATTCCACCATTTTTAATGCTAGCAGAATACGTGCAAAATTTATTAATGGCGAAATGGGAGATGCATTACTACTTGGTGACAGTGGTTATGCTTGCACAAATTTTTTATTGACTCCATTGCTTGAAACGCATACTCAAGCTGAAGAATTATATAATGAATCCCAAATACGAACACGAAATGTCGTAGAAAGAAGTTTTGGAGTATGGAAACGAAGATTTGCTGCATTGGCATTTGGTTTAAGAATGAAACCTTTAAATGCACAAACTGTAATAGTAGCTACCGCAGTACTGCACAACATTGCACTAAACCAAGGAGAACCTGATCTTCCAATCGATTTCGATATTGAAGCTGCACTTGAGGAATTAGAAAATCCAGAAGCACATAATAATGGCATTGATAATGCTAATGTACGACGTTCATTAATTGATACATATTTTGCACGGTAATATATTATTTCCTATATTTTTCTTACATTTGAACAATTATATTTTTCTATACTAACACAAATTTTGTTTGCAGTCTTGTCCGTTAAAGTGACAGTTAGTTACACAGTTGGTAAACGTTGGGACAGTAAAAATAGATATATATCAGTCCTGCTTCTTATTCTTCAAAAAGAATTCATTATTTTCATTGCATTCATACAGACATTGATTGACATCAAGAATTGAATTGATTAATTTACTAAAAATGATCTAAACTTTATTAAATAAAAATGTATTTGAATACAGTTATATTTATTTTATAACATTATAAACATTTGCACTTGTATCACATAACCTTTATAATAACAAATTTTACAGTAAACTTTATTATCTTTATAATAAACTTTATAATATATATCATGTAACGCAAATATATAATTTTTATGTGCATGTGTGTATGGTGTGTGTGTGATGCGTGTGTGTGCGTGTGTACGTATGTGTGTATATGTGTACTTTATATTTACTATAATTTTTTTAGAATATATAACATATTAATATAAGAAATTAAAAAGTTTTACATATAAATAAAATAATCAATCAGAATCAGTCTGAAGCAGTTTTTCTAACTTAGCTTCTTCTATCTGTTTTTGCAATGTTTTTAACTCGTTCTCAACTTTAGCAGTTTTCAATCTTTCTGTATTTATTTCGAGTTCTCTATAAAATTGATTTTTTTTAATCTCTAATTCTTTCTTTAAAATTTTCATTCTAGTTTCGTGGATTTCTTCTTTCATTTCTTGATCTCGTTGACCTGAGGTTTCATGAGAAATTAACTGATGCGTTTTCTTCAATCTTTTAGTGCGTAATTCTGGCGCTAATGTCCTTCTTAATATAGAAATACCAGTTTCTTTAATAGTATCTATTTTCCTCTTACATTCATTATTTTTTTCATTTACGTTTTTTTCACCTGAAGTTTTAGTTTCTTCATTTTCCTTGTTTTCATTGTTCATTAGGTCCATATCTATTTCGATATCAATAGGAGTATTCTAAAAGGTAAAAAATATTATCAGTTATTTTATTTCTGTTTTAAAAAATTATTTTATGCGAATTGATACAATATATATATATATATATATACACATACAGGGTGTCCGGTAGTGTTCTTGAACCATCGCTCGTGGGCGGGTAGATCACACTAAACTGAACATAAAAGTCCTGTACCATTTTGCAATTTGAGCAATAATTTGTATTCATACGCGAGCGATATTATATTACCGGATAATAAAGTTAATAAATAATGGCAATGAATGATGTCGAAAATTAAAAAGAATAAATTATCCGTCGATAAATCAAATATATGTCAGAGGAAAATAAAATGTATGGAAAATGTATACGAGCGATGGTCCAAGGACTACCAGACACCCTGTATATATATTTATATATACTTACCATATCCACATACATATTATCAATGTCTATATTAATGTTGTTTTCAACGGATTGCATTTCTGGTGTTATATCTGGTGTTGCTTTTTCTTTACAAGTTTCTATTAAAAAAGAAAAAATATTTGAAATTAAAAAGCAATTCTTTACGGAACTCGAAATAAATACGAAAAGAAAGCTGCTAAAGTTGAGAACAAATTAAGTCTTAGAAAAACAGATAAAAGAAATTAAATTAGAAAAACTGCTTACGATTGATTGATTAATATATATGTAAAATTTTTTTATTTTTAAAATATTTTTTAAAACAAATTTCGAAATTTGTGTGATACACAATAGAGCCTATAATATTATTTATTTTTTAAAACTATTTTATAAATGCAATGATACACATATCTTATACATAATTTTCTTATAAAATGATATATAAGTACCTCGATCACTATCCCATATAGATGGTAGACCTTCTACAGACGATGGCAACATTGAAAGAATATTTTCTTCAATACCAGTCAAAGGTCGAATTTCTGGCTTACCTCCGCCAGTTTTAAATTTCTCCATTCTGTTATGGGCTAATTTCTTCTTGATACTCTTTTTCAAATCTTCATATTTTGCTTTCAGAGTTTTTTTCGTTCGAAATATTTCCCCAGAGTTTGAGTTGAATTCTGCAGCTACTTTTTCCCATGCAGCATCCTTTTCTCGCCAAGTTGTAGCGTCTGTTCTTTTGCATTCTATTATATTTTTAAATTGTTGTACAATAAGAACCAATGTCTCAGTTTCCTTATTTGAGAAGTTGGACCCTCTTTCTCTTTTCTTTAATTCAGTCATCTATTTAGCATAAATATAAATTATTAAAAAAATACATAAGACATTATAACTTATATTTATTTGTCATATGTATATGTTATATCCTTACCTGAATTCTATTATAATAAAAAATAACAATTCTTCTCAATAGCTGATACACAATAGTTGATACACTAGACCTGAGCAGAAAGATTGCCGTAATATATTGGAGTAGTCGTAAGTACAACGTACAAAAAGGTCGACATACATATGTATTTACATCGTTTTGTGCATTGACTTACGATCACGTCTACGAATATTGCAATCTGTCTGCTCAAGCCTTTACTTTACAAGCATCCCGTTAGAGGTTATAGACAATCACTTGAAGTGGCTATGTACGTTTCCGGAAGTTATTATCGCGATATATCTTGCTTATCTTGTAGGTAATTATCGATAGGATAAATAATCATGGAACAACGTTCACATATAAGTAGCTCGTAAAACTATCTGGTAAAATTTACCCTATAGGTACTAATCTGTCAAGTAAGATGAAATTTATCGAAAGATGGAACAACCCAGCCTAAGTCCACGCTTCCGTGATCGTTCGATACTAGTTTCTCGTGCGCCCGTTGTATATTATTTACCCGCGCAAGACCTACCGTTTCGTTTGTACACCGGATATTATCTTTCCTAGTCAATTACAAGCACGCCGACATTTATACTGTAGCATATACACAGCGACATTTAAAACTTTAGCATACACTCATCGACATTTATACTCTCACATACACACCTTGTACATAATTCATTCCTTCAATAAACATGCATCTAGTTTTAATTAAATGTTCGCACAGATTGATTTATTTCCCCCCCTTCGCTCGAATTTTGGCTGTCCGACGAGCCGGTCCGGAGCGTCGAGAAAGGTGGACCGTTTCAAATATATACACCGTGGCCCATTTTAATCGACGCACCTGAATATCTCCATTGGTAAGCCGAATACAAAAAAATTGTTCAGACAAAAGTTGTATGGCTTGAAGGGGGACATAAGATGGTATCATTGGTTTTATCTTGAAAAGTTGTTTGAAGGTCACATGAAGGCCACCTTCAATTTTTTAAATGGAACTCCCTATTTTTTATTACTTATTTTTGTAGCTTATCTCGAGAGCTTTTCAAACCACTATAATAAAGTATTTCTTCATGAGTACTTTTCGAGTTATGAGGCTTGAAATCATTTCTTAATTTTACATAAACCATAAAATATCTAGTAAAATATTCATTTTTCGATTATCCTACCTTAATACTTTTATGTACAAAATAATGACAGGAATCAATTGCTGTAAAGAAAACACATAATTATTTCGAAGAAAAAATATGTAATTTGCAATTAACAATTCCATATTTTTTCTTAAAAACAACTGTATTTTTCCTTTAATTCCCCTCCTCCGCTAATTTCCCGCTATATACCTGTTATCTCGCTCGCAACCTAGCATGCTCGCACGCTCTCTCGCTCGCTCTCGCCGCTTTGCGCTTGCTGTCTCGCTCTCGCTCGCTCTGTCCGAATATTCCCCAAATTTCGCAGTCGTGCTCCACCTGAGTAATTCGCTAGGTAGGGGATCTCCGGCCGGGTATAAAAGCCGGCACGACCAGTGCATCGGGGCTAGATCCTGACCGGATCTCGCCCGGGTCGAGGTGCTTCTCGGCTCGACCGGGTGCTCCCGATGTCGGCTATCTCATCCCGCTCGAAGCCTACCGAGCTCCTGTCCTTGCTCTCTGGTTCAGAGCACGGTCTCTACCGTTCCCGATCGGGTGAACCCGATAACCAGAAGTTCCTTTCGAGCCATGGACGATCCGGTCCAGGGTACGGGCGCTCCCGTACTCGGTCGGTTGCAACCGACGTCCAGAAACGGTCCGGCTCTCACTCCGATCGAGGTGTTCCTCGATCTGCCGGGTGTCTCCGGCTTCCTGAGACCGCTCCGGTCGAGGCGTTTCTCGATCCGCCGGGTGTCTCCGGCTTCCTGAAGCCGTTCCTGGTCGAGGTGTCTCTCGACTCCCGCCGGGTGTCTCCGACTCCCGTACCAGTCCCGATCGAAGTGTTTCTCGATTTATTGAGTGTTTCCGGCTCCCTGAAGCCGTTCCTAGTCGAGGTATCTCTCGACTCCCGCCGAGTAACTCCGGCTCCTGTACCAACCCCGGTCGAGGCGTTTCTTGATCCATTGGGTGTCTCCGGTTTTCCGGCTCCAGTCCGAGATGACTTGTCGTCCGATCCACCGGGTAATTCCGGATTTTCCCTGTACGCAGTCTCAGGCAAAGCCCGACTGCACGGGGTGTCGCCGGCAATTCTACGCCGTACTGACAAACTAGCCCCGTCGACGGTACAATACTAGTCCTAGGTTCCGTGTCCGTTCCGAATATCCGTCTCCCGTTGTATTTCTCCATAGGGTAAGTCTGTGTTTCCGTGACCGTCCGATATTGGAGTTTTCGTGCGCCCGTTATATATTTCTTATTCGCGCCAGACCTGCCGTTCCGATTTGTACACCGGGTATTATTTTTCCTAGTTAGTTAGACACACGCCGTCATTTATACTGTCACACATACATAGCGACATTGAAACATTCAAATACACACACACCGATGTTTATACTTTCACACACACATCCACCTTGTACATACATTCATTCAATAAACATACGTCTAGTTTTTAAGAATAAATGATCGCACAAGTTGATTTATTCCCCCCCCTCCCCTTCGCTCGAATCCTGGCTATACGACGAGCCGTTCCGGAGCGTCGAGAAAGATGGCCCGTTACAAACTTACAATGTCTTTTAATTAAAATATTTTAGATATACTTATAAACTGAATGATTAATTTTACATTTTTAGCTCAATTGCATTTAATAATATAGAAAACATAAATAAAAGAAATTAAATTATTAAGCATTTCGACTATCAGAAAAATAATCTAAAAATGTAATTTTTAAAAAATAATTTTAGATGATTTAGATAAAGCCAAACGCAAACTTTCCTTGGCAGAAAATACAAGTGACCTTAATACTGAACCAGAAGAAAATTTACAACCTCAAAAAAGAATTAGAAAACCAAAACGATTATATAGTGATGAAGAGAGTAAAGAAGACAAAGAATGTAGATTTAAGCGCCCACCAAAAATCACTATAAAGGCACTAGGTAAATGTCATTAGTATGATCATTTAGTATTTGTATTGGCAATTTCAGAACTTAAAAAAGAATTTTTTTTAATTCATTGCGTATTCTAAGATAATTCTTTATATTAAAAATTATTTTTGAAACTTTTCAAAAGTTTTTATAAAATATTTTTAGATTTTAGTTACAAGCAGTTCGATTTTGTGCTCAAAATATTCCAAATAATTTTTTTTTAGTATTATTATATAAAAGTAGAAGATTAAATATATATTTTTTTGGTATAAGCATATTATTGAAATGAAAATTCTCTTATGTTTGTATAATTTGAAATAGAAGAGTATATATATACATTTTTTATTTTGCTTTTTTAGAAATAGATTTTGACAAAATTAAAGAATCGAGAGAGAAGAATAATAGAAATGTTCGACATTGTCAACAGTCACAACATATTACAATTTTTGGTAAGAATATTTTATTGACAAATAATTTATAAAACTGGTTTGATTTTATGAATACAATTTTTAGATGCTAATAGTAGTGATAACAGCAATAATACTGATATTACTGACAATGTACATAATATTAATATTAATACATCAAAAATTACACCAAGAAGTACACCAAGAAGTACACCAATAAATGAAATAGATTCAAATGCTGATACACCTCAGAGTCTGACTTCTAATTTTAATCAGTTTGGTAAGTTTCATGATATTTAATTTATACATTCGTTATTTTTTTATAAATGATTTCTTTATGCATTCCTATTATTAAACTTTAATATTCACTACGGTTATTTTTTATTTTTTCATAGTTCAATAGTGAAAGTTTTGATTAAATTATTTTGCTGTTTTCTTCATCATGCATTTATATTTTACATATTTTATATTTAAAAAATTTTTATATATAAAAAAATAATATATAAAAAATTTATATTTTTAGCTTTTAATAAAAAAATATTACAGCAGCTAATGATTATTAAACAGCAAAAGAGTTACTTACAATACTTAATACAATACTTAATTACAATACTTAATTACAATACTTAACTCCTATATACAGGGTCTACCAAAAGTGTGGAAACCCCTAAATATCTCGGAAAATATACGTTTTACAGAAAAGTGTTTCCAACAAAAGTTGTAGGGTTTAAGAAGATCTATATACTGATTCTATCAGTTTGACCTTGGATGGCGTCGTCAAGGTCAGGTCAAGGTCACATTGACTTTTTTAAATGACACCCCCTACATTTGATTGCATATTCTTATAGCTTAATTCAAGAGCTTTCCAAAACACTATAATAATGTTCATTTTTATTAAGTACTTTGCGAGTTATGAGGGTTGAAATAATTTCTTAATTTTACATAAACCATAAAATATCTAGTAAACCATTCATTTTTCGATTATCTTACCTTCATACTTTTATGTACAAATTAATGAGAGGAATCAATTGGTGTAAAGAAAACACATAGTTGTTTCTAAGAAAAAATATGTAATTTGCAATTAACAATTCCATATTTTTTCTTAAAAACAACTGTATGTTTTCTTTACACCAATTGATTCCTTTCATTATTTTGTACATAAAAGTATGAAGGTAAGATAATCGAAAAATGAATGGTTTACTAGATATTTTATGGTTTATGTAAAATTAAGAAATTATTTCAACCCTCATAACTCGCAAAGTACTTAATAAAAATGAACATTATTATAGTGTTTTGGAAAGCTCTTGAATTAAGCTATAAGAATATGCAATCAAATGTAGGGGGTGTCATTTAAAAAAGTCAATGTGACCTTGACCTGACCTTGACGACGCCATCCAAGGTCAAACTGATAGAATCAGTATATAGATCTTCTTAAACCCTACAACTTTTGTTGGAAACACTTTTC